AGACCGCAAAATAAACACTTGTGTACAGCAAAAGTGCTGAAATAAGAAGGCAGAGTGTCGCTCTGTTTGACCTCAAATGGGAACGTTTGTTGGGTGACTCAAATTTTCTGCTTCTCTGCACATGTGTATGTCTGAGAATGACCAGGAAATCACTGTCTTGATTTGGGGTTACAAGTAAGTTTTAGAAAGTAGGCAAATTTGCAAATGTGGAATCCATGAATAATGAGAATTGACTGTACTATATTTTATCTATTCATCAGTTGATGGACATTGTGATTGTTTCTACATTTGGGCTATTATGAATAATGTTGCTATGAATACTTGTATACACGTCTCTGTGTAGATATATACGCCTTCATTTCTCTTTAGCAGATACCTAAGAGTAGGATTACTAGGTCATATGGTAAGTTTATCTTTTTAAGAAACCACCAAACTGTTTTCTGAAGTGGTTGTACATTTTACACTCCCACCAGCAATGTCTCAGGGTCTGAGTTTCTCCATATCTTCACCAACACTTTTTATAGCCTACATTTTGATTATAGCCATTTTAGTGGGTGTGAAGTAGTATCTCACTGCGGTATTGATTTCATTTCCCTAATGACTAATGATTTGGGGAAACTTTTCATGTGCCTATTAGTCATTCATATATCTTTTATGGTGAAATGTTTATTAAAATATTTTGCTCATTTTAGGGGCTTCCCTGGTGGCGCAGTGGTTGAGAGTCCACCTGCTGATGCAGGGGACACCGGTTCGTGCCCTGGTCCGGGAAGATCCCACACGCTACGCAGCGGCTGGGCCTGTGAGCCATGGCCGCTGAGCCTGCGCATCTGGAGCCTGTGCTCCGCAATGGGAGAAGCCACAACAGTGAGAGGCCCGCGTACCGCAAAAAAAAAAAAATATATATATATATATATATATATATATTTTGCTCATTTTAAAATTGGGTTGTCTTCTTATTGAGCTCTTTCTGTATTCTGGATACAAGTCCATTATCAGATATATAATTTGCAAATATTTTTTCTGGGGCTTGCCTTTTCATTTTCTTTTTTTTAATTTATTTTTTATTGAAGTAGTGTTGAATTACTATGTTGTGTTAATTACTGCTGTACAGCAAAATGAATCAGTTATAATAAATATACATTCTTTTTCATATTCTTTTCCATTATGGTTTATCACACAATATTGAATATAGTTCCCTGTGCTATACAGTAGGACCTTGTTTAACCATTCTATATATAGCAGTTTGCATCTGCTAATCCCAAACTCCCAATCCAACCCCCTCCCACCCCCACCCCCTTGGCAACCACCAGTCTATTCTCTATGTCTCTATGTTTCATAGATAGGTTTGTTTGTGTCATATTTTAGATTCCACATATAAGTGATATCATATGGTATTTGTCTTTCTCTTTCTGACTTACTTCACTTAGTATGATAATCTCTAGTTGCATCCATGTTGCTGCAAATGGCATTATTTCGTTCTTTTTTATGGCTGGGTAGTATTCCATTTTATATATGTACCACATCTGCTTTAACCATTCATCTGTTGATAGACATTTAGGTTGTTTCCGTGTCTTGGCTATTGTACCTTTTCATTTTCTTAATGGTGTTTAATGAAGTACAAAAGTTTTAAATTTTGATTAAGTCTAGTTTTATCTTTTCTGGAATGTGATTTTGGTGTTGTAATTAAGAGCACTTTGTCTAACCCAAGGTCATGAGAATTTTCTCCTAGAAGTTATAGTCTTTATCTACAATCCAATGATTTTAGGAGAATATTATGTTGGCCATTATTGAGCAAATTTTCCCCTAGATTATGACATACCAGTCAAAATGTAGAATTTTAAATGTTCTTTTCAGGAATAATATTTTTAAAAATTTTGCTTATAAATATTTGTATGTTCCATTGTTTTGCTTTTCTCTGTAGGGGACTTCAGTTAAATATTTTGCCTATCTTCTATTATTTTCTCTATAATCCTTTTTTGATATTTGGATATTCTTTTTTCTCATTACTAACCACTCTGTCCCTAACTGCTTTTTGGTTATGTTTAGTTTTCCTTGTGCTTTTTATAATTTAATCTTTATTTTTTGAAGTGGCTTTGCTTTTTCCTTGTTTTTCCTTTGACATCTACTGTTTTATGCTTCACCCCCTTCCATCATCTAGCTGTCACCTTCTATTACCTGGCCATTTCTTTCCTGAGGTCTTTTACTTCTGCTGTGTGATTTTCCTTCTTAGATTCAATTGAAACGTTAAGTTTCAAAGTTCATGTTGGGATACTGGATAATCTAATCATTTTCATTTTCTTTTTTTTCTTTTCTTTTTTTTTGCGGTACATGGGCCTCTCACTGTTGTGGCCTCTCCCATTGTGGAGCACAGGCTCCGGACGCGCAGGCTCAGCGGCCATGGCTCACGGGCCCAGCCGCTCCGTGGCATGTGGGATCTTCCCGGACCGCGGCACGAACCCGTGTCCCCTGCATCTGCAGGCGGACTCTCAACCACTGCGCCACCAGGGAAGCCCCCATTTTCTTTTTCTTTACGTCAACATTTTTCTGTTGAATTTCTTTGTCCTCAGGGACATTTTGTTGCCCCTTTCCATCATTTTCTTACAGCTTCATTGTGAGGATTTTTTTAAATTGTATTTGATTTTCTGAAAAAATCTATTAGCTATAGATTCCTAAGGAGGGTAGAGGAAGGCAACTTCTAGATTTTGCAGTACCAAACAGGTTCGTCCCAAAAGATCTCCCTAATAAAGGTACATCTGAGCAGACCTGAAGGAAGTGAAGTGGCAAGCCAGAAATCCCAAGCATTCTAGGAGAGGGAAGAGCAAGTATGAAGACCCTGAAGAAGGATAACACCTGACATGTTTGAAGAAGAGCTGGGGGCCAATCTGGCTGGAATGGAGTGTTTAAGGGGGAAAGTATAGAAGATGAAGTCAAGGTGCAGGCAAGGGAGAAGGAATATAGTTCCAATTAAGGCCTTTGTAGGAAGTGAAAGCATTTTGGCTTTTACTCTGAATAAAATGGGAAACCACTGGAATATTGCGGGCAGAGGAGCTGACAACCTGATTTAAATTCTAGAAGGATCGCTCTGACCACTCTGTTAAGAACTGACTGTAAGGGTGTAAGGGTGAGAGTAAGGAGACTGGATAGGAGGCAACTGCAATGATTCAGGTGAGAAATGATGGAGGCCTGGATCACAGTTATAGGCAGTGGAAGTGGTGAGAAATGACTAGATTCAGAATATGCTTTGAAGGTATAAGTAACTGGATTTCCCCGAAGATTGGATATGGGACATAAGCAAAAGTAGGAGCTCAAGATGACTCCAAGGGTTTTGAACTGAGTAACTAGAAAATGCAGTTGTCATCAACTAAGTTGGGGGAAGACTGCTGGAGGACGAGGTTTGAGGGGCAACATCAGGAATTAGGTTTTGGAAATCAAGTTTGTATGCCTGTCATACATTGTAGTGGAGACTTCCAGTAGACAACTGATTATACATATAGTCTGGAATTCAAGGGAGAGGTCTGGACTAGTTATATATTTAGAAGTAATCAGTACCTTCATAATATTTAAAGCCATAATACTAAAATTAGATGAGTAACTTTAGTTACTCAATCTAGGGAGTTACTTTCCATTAAGATGTCTGAAGCCTGAGCCCTGGGACACAAATGTTTAGTAAGTCAGAAAGAAAAGGCACTAAAACATGAAATACAGATGGAACCTGAAACACCAGTGAGGACCCAGTGGAGAGCCCAAGAACCCATTCACAGAGCAGCCTCCTCTTCTACACTGCCATGAGATCCTGTACAATAAGAGGATAGTCTCTTGAGAAGGGGAAAGGTGGGGAAGGCTACCCTGAAAGACTAAGTATCCCTAAAGAGGCTGAACTGACTCTAACAAGACTCTTTATAATGGAAAGAGACTAGGTTACATTTAATGACTGGCAAATTTGTGATTTTCCCCCTGCCATCAAAGGGAATGGGAGCATTAAGGCAAGTTACAGAAAACAGGGTGCTATATGTTTTAAACATTTAAGTATAGTATGCAAAATTTAGATTCTTCTATATTAATTGACTATGTGATCCAAGACATCCATATTCCTTAGGCCCTATGAATCTCTGACAGCCCTAGAAGATCTAATTTACTCACAGGCCTCAACAGCTTGAAGGGAGATGATGTTGTGCCTTCAACGAGCTATCACAATACAAACAGCTACCATGTACCAAGTACTTACTCTGTGGGTGAGCAGTTTAATACATTATGTTACTTGATGATCACCACAATTTTAGGAGATGAAGACTATTATTAATCCACATTTTAGAGATCAGGGAAAAGAAGCACAGACAAGTAACCTGACCAAAGCAGTCAGAGTCATGATTAAAATCCCAGTCTGGTTATAGCACCTGGACTTTGATTCACCATATCATATTGCCTAGTCACATCACCTTGAAACTCAGGTTTAATCTACTCAAGACTCCAGGAATCTTGAGGGAAGGGGGGAGGGGCAAAATTAAGGTGACCCAACAGAGACCAACTGAGTCAGGAGGGTTGCAAGTCACATCTTCCACAAGTATAGAGGCACTGACAGACATATCTTGCTCAAATTCTGTCACTCCTACAATCAGTCCTCCTAAGAAGCAATGGGCAGTGGGACTAGTGGTCTATTTTGGGACTATTAACTAGCACAGAGGCTCTGAAAAGCTAATTAATCTCTTGGCAAATAAATGATTAGACCCCATGTAAGAATGTGCTCTCAAATCAGGGAAGGAAAGTAGGTCAAGCAGTCACTGATGACAAATTTTAGCTGGACAGTTTTAGATCTAGTAAGTGATTAATGTTGGCTCCTTTACACTATGGTGAAATATCTGTGGCTCTTTCCCTCACATTCAATGTTAGTATAAAGGACAGATTTTAAAAGTTGCCCTAAAACAGGTTTTCCCCTCCTAGAACTCATTTGCCTTTGCACATTGTTTGATATCAGCATTTCACGTTAGGAGAAATCCACCTACCCTGGTTACAGAGGACTTGATTTAAGATGCTCGGTATCCTCAGGCTTTCTCTTCACCTAAAAAAAGAGGGATCATACCCCTAAGAACACATACAGCATTGCCTAAATCATAGGTGGGCAACTGTTTCCAAACATAGGCCACTTGAGAGGTTCCCTTAGTGTAGTTCACACAAATCCCAGGCAAACCATATTGTGTTCTGGGGTCACATGAAAAATGTTAACACAGTAAGTTTCCCATCTCATGCTAAACATATATGTTCTTTCAATTCGACTATTCCAGATGACAATAAAGACCCTATGGTTCAACTCTGGGTTCTACTTTGTATTTTTTTTAAAGCTCTACCTTGCCCATCTTCACTAATCTCCATTTAACTCTTTACCATTGAAAAGACTTATGCCTGGTGAACTATATTATCATTTTGGGTGCTTTGCCCCAAAAGGTGAAGTAGTTTAAGTTTTTTACTAGTCCCCTCCATGGGTCTAACACCTATACTAGACATAGGTGAAAAATAGTAATCATTCTACTCTAAGTATCCAGCTCAAGACCTTATAAAAGTAGGTACTTAATAATTATTTAAAAGATAACTTCCTCCTCCCTTCCTGTCTCAGATGCTCTCTGCAGCCCATATCCATATCTATCTTTTCTGCATTCAATCAGTCCTCATTTTCTGACCACTCATTTTGGCACTTACTTAATCTATATTATCCTTGAATGATATATAAATGCTTGATGTGCATGTCTTTCTTAAGAGTGTAAACTCTTTAAAGGATAAGATTTATGTCACCTATCTTCTAGTGCTAGACACATGAATAGTATATAAGAAATGCTCAGTGTTTTGCATAGATTCTCCTGCCTACAAGAAACAAAGGCTACAGTTCCCTCAAGTAATGAGGGAGACTACTGAAAGAAAAACCAGACAAAGCGAAATAGCCCATAGGAAGAGCAGGGTCTGTAGTAGAATCAGGCTATAGGATATTTAGTATTCTACCACTGTAGAAAGTAGGACCAGGGGTAAAAACCAAATACAAACTGGGGTACTTAGGTTTATTTCTCCCAGGCATACAGACTTGGGTCCCAATGATTCTAGCAGGAAAGCTGGTTTGAAGCTGATACGGTAAAGGATATGGAAAGATAATGACAGTGGGAATGAGAGAGAATTCTCAAAAGAGAAGCTAGGAGTGAGACTGAGAAAAGCTGAGGTTAGTTTCCTTGATCATGGAATGCCTACCGGTTAATGGTTATAGATGCTCATGAGGTCTCGTTGCACTTAGTGCCCTTGCCTTCAGTGAGACATCTACAGTCATCCCCTCAATTCCACCTCCTTTCTGACTCTAGCTGAAATGGGTTTCTCTTTCTTACAATAAAATGATCCCTTTCTATAAACCAATTCCCTACTATAAAATGGTTCCTTATTAAGAGCACAATACAGCATTAGTCTATTAAAGCACCCAAATTATTTCAACCCAACCATGATATTTATTAAAATTGGTTTTTACCTTTCATAACTGAAATCCCTCCTTTTAGGAACTATTGAGAAGAGAGAACATCACCTTCAGTGTACACACTGTAGCTTGCACTGTCTCTTCTGACCATGGAGGGGTTAGAGGAGGGAATGCGAAAAATGCAGACCACATCCAGCTTGCGAAAATTCGAAGTCATAGGGAGAGATGAGTCAGACAAACCTTCAATGGCTGAAAGAAGAAAAGGAGACCAAACTTAGCAATTGACAGAAAGGATAAGATAGAATCTTTCAACAATTATAGACTCTCTGTTGCAGGTCCAGGTTAGGAGACTTGGAGAGAATTGCAGAGCTGGAAACAGAACTAATGCCAAAGATGAACTTGAACTCATGACTAAAAAACGGGGGGTAAATAAGATGCAGTTTTTTACAGTTCACTGTGGCTGAGCAGGGGGAAGAGATGCTAGGGAAGTCTGGTGGTATGGAGTCCCTGACTAGGATTATACAAATTAAAGATGGCTATATGAAAAATATGAAAGTGCAACCGGTTAACCCCAAAGACATCCTAGATATGCAATCCCTGACCCCAAAGTTTTACTGCATCAGGAAAAAGTTACCTTGGCAGAGTCCTTAAGAAACTTCAGGAAAACAAAGACAACAGTAGCTACTGATGCCAGAAGAGTTGGTAGATAAACCAACCTGGCTCACTGAGACCCTTTAAGCAGAGAGACAGTTCTATGGCATGTCTGATGAAGTTTCGTACTCACCCAGGGAACTATGAGTGAGACTGAATTCTCTAATTGAAACTGGAAGGTTTCCAGGTACTATGCTGTCTTCTCTAAGGGTCTCTTAGGAGCCTGGGGCACTTAAGCAGAATGAAGACTGTGGCCACAACTGCCACTAGAGAAACAGGAAATTAGAAAGTCCATCAACAACAGGCCTTCTGAGAACTGATGGGTAAGGCCCAGGATGGCTGTTTCTACTAGCCAGAGAGAACTTTGTCTACTGTGGCAGAGATTATTATAGACTTCCAATAGTAGAATTATTAGCATGAACTGTGAAATTAATCTCAAATTAATCCACCTGTATCTCTGCTAGATCTCTAAATCACATGATAGGGGTTACAAAATATATTTGCACATTTTAAATCATTCTAGTTTATTCCCTCTCATCCTCATTCCCTTTCCCAAGGTCTAAAGCAGAGCAGCCATTTATGCTCTTAAAGGGTCCAACTTCATGGTAATTTAAGTAATTATGACCTGAGTTTAAAGATGCTCTATTTGCTCTTACGTTTTTGCCTAATTGCTCACCACTATTTACCACTATTGGTTACTTTCTGCTCTCAAATGCCCTTACCTCTACAGTATAGTACAGGAACCTCATTTGTGCAATAAACATGTTCCTGATAAACTGTAAGAGTTTTTGAAATGCAGTTTTATTTTCCCACAGTTCTGATGATATCAGAGATGTTTTATATTCATCTGTGATTGACCATCAGCCAGCAGTGACTTTCAACTTCAGTTTTAAGTTACTCCACTATAAACCAAGGAGTTCCTCATTTGTAAAAAAAATTTCAATGTTCTATGAACTTTGTTACTGCACAAAAAGGAAAGAACAAGTTCTTTCATGATGTGGATTATCCACTAATAATTTATCTTTTCTTTTTTTAGATTTAGAATTTAGTATCTGGGGAGCTACTGTTAATGTCTTCATATTCATGGTACTGGGTGGCCCTGCCTCATCCCAACTTTTTTCCCATTCAACATTTTTCTTTTTAAAGTCAGGCTTACTGAAATATAATTTACATACAACCAAACTGCTCTTTTTAGTGTACAGTTCTATGAGTTTTGAAAGATGCACACATTATATAATCCACATCACACTTCAAGATATAGAAAAGTTCCATCACCCGCATAAAGCCCACTCAAGCCCCTTTGCAGTCAACCCCTCCCAATGCCTAGGCAACAACTGATCTGTTTTTTTCCCCTCTATAATTTTGGCTTTTCCAGAATGTCCTATAAATGGAAGCATCAGTATGTACTTTTGAGTTTACATCTTTCACTTAGAATAATACATCTGAGATCATTTATGTTGTTGTATCAGTAGTTTGCTCCTTTTATTGCTGAGTAGATTCCACTGTATATATGTACCACAATTTGTTATCCATTCACCAATTAATGGGCACTTCGATTGCTTCCAGGTTTTGGCTATTAGAAAATGTGTGTCCAGGTTTTTTGTGAAGTTTTTATTTCTCTTGGGTAAATATCTAGGAGTGGGATTGCTGGGTCTTATGGCAAGTGTATATTTAACATTAAAAGAAACTGCCGAATTGTTTTCCTGTCTCTATCATTTTGTATTCCCACCAGTAATGTCTGGGAATTCCAGTTGCTCTACATCCTCAACAGCATTTGGAATTATTTTAACTACGTAGTGATACTTCATTGTGTTTTGATATGCATTTCCCTCATGACTAATGACACTGAGCACCATTTCTTGTGGTCATTCAATTATGCCAATGTTTAAAAAATTAGTTTACTTGCCTTTTTTATCGAGTTGTAGTTTTTCGTATAGTCTGTATATAGTCATTTATCAGATATGTTTTGCAGATATTTTCTCCTAGTCTGCTGCTTCATTTTCTTAACTATCATCCAAAGAACATAAGTTTTTATAAATTAAATTATTTTTTCTTTTATGGATTGTGCTTTAGGTGTTGTAGCTAAGAAATTTTTTTGCCTAACCAGAGATGACAAAAATTTTCCAAGTTTTCTTCTAAACATTTTATAATTTTACATTTAAATTTATAATCTATTTTGAGTTATTTTGCATACGGTGCATGGTATGGGTTAACAGGCTGAAGTTCTTTTTTCTTCTTGCAAAATGATGTGCAACTATTCCAGCGTCATTTGTTTCTTTTCACTATCTTTTGATAAGGTTCTGTTTAGCAGAGAATCTATGTAGAATCTACAAAAAGAAAGGTAACCCTCTAGCTTTGGTGTGAAAATCAAATGGATGGAGATGGGAGGGCAGTTCCCAATTTCTGTGGCGAGAAATGACTAAGCAGTATGCTTTCCACTCCATATACATGTGTGGTATAAGACAGTCCAGAAAGAATTATCAATGCTCTCTAGCCAAACACCAGGAACACACCGGTGGCTGAACAAGCTAAGCTTACTACTCACTGCAGCAAGGGAGAACACACACTATGGGGAACCATGAGGCATCTCAATATGAGGGTGTTAGAAAGGACTTACATTAAGATTTGGGTTTGTTGGGTGATTTGCTCTAAATTGGATGCTGTCAGGAAGCAGGGGTAATTCTATAATTGGGTACCTTAATAAATCTTTGTTTTAGAGTTTTTTTTTTTTTTTTTTGGCTGCATTGGGTCTTCGTTGCTGCACACGGGCTGTCACTAGTTGCGGCAAGCAGGGCTACTCTTCGTTGCGGTGTGCGGTCTTCTCATTGCAGTGGCTTCTCTTGTTGTGAAGCACGGGCTCTAGGCACGCAGGCTTCAGTAGTTGTGGCTTGTGGGCTCTAGAGTGCAGGCTCAATAGTTATGGTGCATGGGCTTAGGTGCGCCACAGCATGTGGGATCTTCCCAGACCAGGGCTCGAACCCGTGTACCCTGCATTGGCAGGCGGATTCTTAACCCTTATGCCACCAAGGAAGTCCCCCTTAATAAATATTATATAGAAAAAGGGAAGACTAGAATGAGGATAAAGCTGTAATTAGTAAAGAAGTAACAGCCCCTCATATAGTCTGATATTTTCAGTCTGTGTATTTCATTTGTTGGCTTAGATAAGGTTCATGTTTTTGTCTGTGTTCAGATATGATTATGGAGTAGTCTTATTTTTGTCCTGATCCATCACAATCATGAAATGGCCTTTTCTGATGCTGATGTTCTCTGAAACAGTTTATATTCAACAGAAGATACCAAAGCCTAGCTGTGCCAGGCCAGCTCCTAGCAACAGAAAGACCTAGCTGATAGCACCATTCCAGCTACTCGATGTCAGGGACTGCTTTTCTCTTTCTCAGAATATAGTGGTTAAGGCCCCAGAGTCAGAAAAAATTGTTTGATTCCAGGGTCTGCCTTCCACTAGCTGTGGGCCCTTGAGTAAATTATCTAACTTCTCTATGCCTCAGTTTTCTTATATGAATATGGGGATAGTAATAGTACTTGCCTCATTGGATTATTGGAGTACATGTTAGAAACTTAACGTTAAATAAGTCTTAGTTATCATTATTATATCACAGAAAAGATTAAGAAGGATTGGGGCAGAAAAAAGAAAACCAAAAATAGTCCAGGTAATGGTGCCAGTAAAGTCTGCCTAGCATTCATGCTGGAAAGGTCACATATTAAGTGGTTTCTGTGATAACAAGAAAATAGAGTTGCTTCGCACCTCTTCACATGCTGGGTAAACACAACAAACCATAGATCCTGCTAACCATCCAAATCATAAAGTAACAAGATTATTTCATTTCTCCTTTAAGGTCTGGAAAACTGAAATATCTTGACAGTCTCAGAACAATGGTCTAAGTGGATTTAAGCCGCTGCTTTGAAAAATCGGTCATTGGGCTGGAACCACAGACTATATTTGGTCCACTCTATTTAAGACCTGGCTCAAAGGCAGCTTTCCTTGGTTAACATGTCCTTTTCTGGGTCTTGTCAATACATATCCTTCAGTTGCCCCTCCCTGATTATTCTGCATTCGAAGAAACACTTTGTAAGGTTATTTACACACATGAGGGTATGTTTTGTCTTGCTAACCGAATTGTGAAGGAAGATCTCACACCTACACAGGAATTGTTTACAGACCCCTTTCACACCCACCATCTCCTTTGATTCTCTCGAAAAACCTATGATGGACTTCCTGTCATCTTCGTTTTATAGGTGTGCAAAGAGAGGCAGAGAAAAGTTAACAGATGCCTCACCTCACAAGGGGTTTAGGTCCAGACACTATCCTCTTACCGCTACACTCTTCTCAACACCTTCCAGAACGGCGAGCAGAGCCTCGGCCTAGGCGGGGAGACCTCAAGAGGCGCCGCGCCAGGCGGCAGATGGCGAGGCAGGCGCGCGAAGCCAGGTTTTCTAATTTCCAACTCACTTCTCTTTTCACTATAAACACCCACTCTCTTCAGCAAACTGCTAGCGCCTGGCGAACCCTCAGCACTGCGGTAAGCGGTGGGTGACGACGACGAACCGGCGTTCTTACTCTCAAGAAGCTCAATTCTAGGGCAGAGGAGATTTCAAATAATAATAATGGTAACAACAACAATAATAAATGAGTAATGTCTCTCAACAACAACAATAATAAGTGAGCACTGTCTCTCTTGTCACCCCTGTCACCTGGACAGTATACAGAGACTCGTAGAGAGCCCCAAAGAGAAGGGCGGAGAGCAGGCCTAGCTCGTCACTCCCCTGAGGGGAAGCAGGTAAGGGAATGTCGAGGCCCCGGACGAAGAGCCGGAGAAACTGGCGACCGTCTCATCTTCCCTAGGGCGAAGACTCGGAATTCGGAGCGACCGTTACTCGCGGCGTAACTGGGACTTCTGGAAGCCGCAGTCGTTACTGCTCGGTCCGCAGGGCCGCCGCCTACGGGCTCTCGAGGCCCCGTGCCCCTCGCCCGATCTGATTGGACGGCGGGGAAAAGGGGCGGGAGGCCCAGGAGGAGGTCCGCACAGGCCGGCCCTGGGTTCTCGCGGTGCCACCAGGCAGGCGAAGGGGCGGGAGTTGGCCGGCGGGGCGGGAGGGATCCTGGCGCGTGCGCACGTCGGGAGGCGACAGGCTGGGGGTGGCTGGGAGGGCTGGGCAGTTCGAGAAACGGGTGGGCGTGTGCCGGATAGGAGCGGGAGGGGCTCGGGGTGCGCGTGCGCGTCGGAGCGCGAGTCGCGGGAGGAGGCGGGAGCGGAGGAGGCGGTGGAGGGGGCGGGTCGCGTCCGGCGCCACGTCCGCAGCCAGAAGGCACCGTCGCCAACCTTGTCTTCTGGCTCCACTGCCAGAGGAGGCGTCTCCGGAGCCCCCAGTTACCCCGGGCTGTGCCCGCCGCTCAGGCCGCCTCAGCCCTCCTAGGTGCTGCCCGCTCCTCCGCCCGGCCCCGGCGCCGGCCCCCGACCCGGCGGTGAGTAAGTCGGGCCGGGAGGGTAGGGGGCGCCGTCCCGGCTTCTTCCTGCCCTCCTTTCTGTTGCCTTTTTCCGTTAGCTCTGTTAGCTCTTCTGCACCTCACCGTCTCCCTGCCCTGGCCTGGGTGCCCGGAGCGGGGCCTTTTTTTTTTGGCGGGGGTGGGCTGCTGCTTAGCGGGGAAGGGGGAGGGGCTGGACGATGTTGGGGGCGGGTGGAGGTTCGCTGGCCGGGTTACCCCCTTTTACGTGTCTCTGACTCACCCGCCGTGGTTTGAGATTGGGGACCCTCCTTGGACGCTTCCGCCTGACTTCTTAGCTCCTGGGGTATCAGACCGGGGAAATGGGGGTGGGAGGGCGCCAGCAGCCTGCGAGAGGAGAGGGATGCGGCAGAGGGGCTGCGTGCTGGGCTTCCCCGCCCCGCTAACTCCTAACTTGTTGATAAACCACTCTCTTGGGTTCAAGTACACGATCCTTCAACAGTAGACAGTCTCAGTGTTCTTCCCAGGTAGCCCTACCCCCACACCTAACCTGAACTGGAAAGTGTAGCAGTGGAGAGAGGCGCTTACTGCGCCAGGGGGTGACTGGGGGACTACTGGAGCACCCACCAATGCCATCACTGCCTCCCGAGTCTAAATAAAAACCGTGCCTGCTATGCACACGCAGCCTCAAGACTGGTCCCCAGGCTCTCACTTAGGATCAGGTCCCCTCTCCTAAACAGATCGCCTCTTGTACGTTAGAAGACATAGGAATTCTGGAACCCTGTGGGAGTGGGGTTTGCTGGGTGTACAGCGTGGAGCGGAGGGAGGAGGTGCTGAGCTCAGCCCTAGCCAGGGCTCCTACAGGGTCATTTTCTGCCTATCCTGCCACGTCACTCCCTCTGCTTAAAAAAAAAAAAAAAAAAAGGAAACTTGCTAGTGCCCAAAGGGATCAGTGGGGGGCAGGGGGGGCTCCGGAAGGGGCCACCGGCAAAGGTTTAGAAACACCTAGAGAAGGAGGAGAGTTTATTTGATTTATTCTGCCCTTGTGAACTAATTCCAAATGAAAACACTTTATTTACTATCTGTGATTATTTGTTCTATACTGTTGTTTAACCTTTAAAATTTCTACTGGTTTGGGTGCTCTAAAGGGCTCCCGAGGAATATTGATATCACATCAACAGGTATATGTCTGCGTGTTATGTGTCCATGTCTGTTTTTTTAAAGAAAGAAGGAAGTAACTTTTAATAAACTCATGCATCCTATTTTGATTTTTTTCACTTTCATTTCTTTAGTCTTTGTTATAACATATGTACTAGAAAGCAAGCTCAGTAAAAATATGCCCTTATTTAGAGAACATCGTTAGAAAAGTATAAGTAGTTCTTGTGTGTGGTTCGCTTTTTTTTTTTTTCTTTTAAACTCCAGGAAAATCTTTACCTTTCTTTGTTTTAGTCATTGAGTAGTTGTTGTTTTGCTACTTCCTGAAGGTATCTTACTGGTTTATATATAAACACCCTCAGAGTAGGGCCTTGACATTCTCGTTCAGGCTGAAACTTCAGTGTCTAACACAGTGTCTGACACATAGTAGGGACACAAATATCTGTTGAACTAATGAGGTATAATGTAGTGAAAATGACTGGTGTACTGGTTATTTGGTTTGATAGGTTATTGTAATTCTCCTTAATGTTTCATTTAAGGGCAACACTTAAAAATTGCCATTTTGATACTGTCAGTTGTTACTTGTCACTAGGTGTAAGTTTTACTGACAGATTACTTTTTCTTTCCTGCCACATTCAGTGCATTTCTTGTAGTTCACTTGCTGTTGATTTAATGGGCAGGGGCCATTTTTAAAAGCAGCCTGTTCAGGATAGTTGGTTAACTAGAGAAGCCTAAAAACAGTAAGCTGGTGTTTTAATATGCGCAGTTTGTTGGTGTATGTGAGTTAAAGCTCTGTATAAATGTATTTTTTGAAGCTCCTTATAGTTATTTGGCAAAGAAGCTAAAGCATAGGATTGAGAATGTGGCAAAGTTCCTATATATAAAATGTGTAGAAAAATTTAGCTAATTCATTTATAGTCTTTTTCTTATAGGGAAATTGGCAGTTACTGTTTAATAAGAAATTTTTGAAGTGGCTTTGAAGGTAAACTGTTGTGCATTGTATTTTGTAGTTAGGCTTCATATACAATGTATTAGTGCTTCTTAACTTCCCTTGGTACACAGAGGGGTGTTGCCATAGGCACACTTGAGTACTGTTTTCAGATTTTGTTTTTATTATTAATGAAAACTTTATATATAAAATGTTACAGATATCCACAACATTGATTCACCTGTTTTCCTTTAAAAAAAAGGGGGGGGGGTCCATTGTTTACTTATTTCTATTATTAGAAGAAATTACCCTCTAGGGAATAGTGTTGTTATAAATCCTTGCTCAATATATTTACCAGCTGGACAAGAATTATTTCTCCCTGGCCTAAAATGCTTAAAGGAACTGCTGATGAATTGCAGTCTATAGCAAAGAACTCTTTCACATTTCATAATTTCTTTAAAAAAAAAACATGACCAGTTTTCGTTGGTACTGTAATGGTTTGTTCACATGTCAGGACCAAATGGTAAAACTGATTTATGTCCACAGAGTAAGTTAAATTATTTGTCCTGATCTCAAAGCTGTTTTCTGTTTTTATTGCCTTCCTTAAGAAACTATGTTTTTTAATAGAAATTTCTGTGCATTATGAGTTCCTCCTATAGAGCAGACTTTTTTTTGGTTTTGAATGCAACTAAATTGATAAACGCTGGTAAAGTATATAACCACTGGATTGTAAGCTCTGGCTTAGTGTAGTCCTCTGTGTGTTTAATCACACTGAAACCTTTAGTGCCTATCAGGGTGCCTGGCACATAGCAGGGACCCAAGTATATGTTGAGTTTAGGGCAGATGGTTTGCATAGAATTTAATAATGTTGTTTAAGGGGGTAACATTTTTAAATGGTCTTTTTGATACTTTTACTGTCAGTTGTTATTTCTATTTACATGTGTGCTCTAAAATTTTACTAAGCAGATTATTTACCTCTTCCAGTTTTAGGAGATTCGGGCCATATTTGTCTTCACAATTCCTAATTTAAGAGAAAAAAAATGTAATGATGATAATGAACAGCATGGTAATATAAAAAGCATTTCTCCTAGTGATAAAGTGATAGTATCCTAAAGAGGTAATATCACTAAAAATTTGGCACATATATGTATGTAGAGGTTGGGAAAGGTTTATGTGAGTAAAAAGTATAGATGGCATTACAGATAGTTAAGGATTTTAGCAAAAATACCTTTATAAGGTAACTTGGTGTCTTATGATCAAATTAGGGATTCAGAAAAATATATTCCATATACTTAGAGCTTTTGCATAATTTTTATTACCCTAAGAGTTCTGTAGGAATTTGAATACTACATACTTGCTGTTAATACGAGTGATATACAAGAAACTTAAACATTAAAATATATGCATACAAAACAAAAATCAATCTCTGTGGCCTCTTAGGGCTTTCAAAGCCAATTTCTTCTGGTCTAGGTAGCCAGGCTTCTGGCCTACACAACTCCAGATTTTCTACTTTATTGATAATCCTGTTTGCAACTCTTGGTAACACTAGTAAACGTAACTGTGAATGTAATTTAAGAGCGGCATAAACTCAGGGGAGGTGGGAGCGTGGTTGGGCAGGGAAGAGAGAGCTGGTGAATCTGAGAGTATACCCTAAAGAGGCTCCAGGCAAGAACGAAATTTCTTGAAAGTCTAGTTGTGTTAAAAAATTCCCAAGCACTTTTCATTTAACTTTTTAATTAGTGTGTATTTAAAAGCAAAACTATTTTAAATTACTGTGTAGTAAAATTCATGTCTCTCCTGTGGTTCTTGAAGGCCCTGGAATAGCACTGCCTATTCTTAAAGAACTACATTTGAAGAGCATGAATCTAGCTAGAAGTTATCTTTTTTTTTTTAAACCAAAAATTTGGACCATCTATTGGTATGCATCTTATGATGCTTCAAGTTAATGTGGATACAGATGATATTTTTATCCCATTTATTACACAAATACTGTGTGTCAGCTTACAACCGAAACATGTACTTAAGAAAAAAATGGTAAGAGTATAAATAAGATTTTCAAACTGTAAATCAGGGAAAAGAGCTGTAAGAGTGGAGGTCTTTGTGTGCTGTCAGGAGCGGGCTGGGGGAGAGTGGGGGAACATAACCGTGAATAAAACTGGGTGATCTTTTCTTCAAGTCAACATTTTGTGATTCAGGAACATTGTTTTTTAGGTGATCAGCTTGATTTGAGGATAACAATAACTACCTACAGTAACTAGGTAGATGAACTGTATCATCTTTAAAAATATCCTTTATGAGTATCATTGATAGTTCTAAGACTTAAAAATATGTATTGTTCTTTAATTACAAGATCAATACATGTTTATGGTAGAATATTAAAATGTAGATGTTAAGTATATATATTTCTCTCTATGTAGAAATACTATATATCTATTCCCCCCATATGTATAATTTCTACCCTCTAGTGGCAATCTTTGTTAGCACTTCGGTATATTTACTTTCAGTCTTTTTATGCGCACTTAAAAAAAAATAGTATCATATGATACATGTCTTTTATATCCTCTAAATACAACATTAACATTTATCCATGGTATTTGATCTTCATAAATTATTTTAATGTTTGCATTGTATGTATCTTTAGGAAGCTTATAAATTCATCTCTTGCCTTCCATGAGGCTGTCTCATTTGACTGTTTATCTTCAGGTGTATTATGTTTGTTTTTGCTGGCTTCTCTTTTGCTCACCTCTTAAACATGAACAGTCCATATAAGCTTATTGGTCTGCTCTCTTACTACTCTTTTCCTTGATCATATCACTCACCCCCTGCAGCTTCAGGTATCACTTCAGACCATTCTCAGGACCTCAACTCTTACTCTCACTTTATGCTGACTTTCAGGCCCTTTTAAATACAATTGCCTGCTAAAAGTCTCCTGTAGATGGCCTGAAGGCATCTACAAAGGGCTGTTCAAGAACAAGTCCTTTCACTGAACCGATAGTCACCAATACTGTGTACACTTATTTGTTAAGTGTTCTTGCCGCAATAAACATTTAAGAAAATGTCCATCTTCTCCTCTCCAGTCCTGTCTTCATCATCATTTCTATTTAGTTTCTCATGCTAGAAATTTTACACCCTATATTCTCCTTTTATCTCACATTAATACCCAAGTTATGTTCTACTTCATACAAAAAAGTCAAGTATTTGAGTATCCCCCCACATCAGACATTAATTAAGGCTCTGGGAATGGAGCAGTGACAAAACCAAGCTTTGTTCCAATAGAGCTTACATTCTAATTGTGAGTGACACAAAGTAAACATATATATCAAGTGACAGTAAAAGCAATGAAGAAAATAGAGCAGTGTGTTAGGAGAAAATGATAGGGAAAGGAGGGTGCTAATCTATTATAAGGTGGTCAGGGAAGACCTCTGAGAAGGGGACACTTGCACAAAGACCTGAAGGAAGTAAGGAATCAAGTGAGGTACATATACTGGGGAAGAGCCTTTCAGGAAAAGATGAGCAAGGAAGCCTATGTTGTCAAGCTGGATTGAGCAAGAGGCAGAGTGGTAGGAGATGCTATTGGGGTATTAGATGTTGGGCCCTCAAAGGCAAAGGGAAGGACTCTGGATTTTATTCTGGGCAAAATAGGAAGCAGTTGGAGGGTTTTAAGCAGAGTATGACATGGCTAGACTGAAGAAAGAGCACAGGCGGAAGCTTGGAGGCCAGTTAAGAGATTTTGTAGTTGTCTGCAGCTCTACTCTTTTAAAATGATGGTCTTTTTCTTTTTTAAATTACAAGATAGATATATGTGGAAAAATTATTTTTTTAAAAAAAGGGATTCTGTATTAGGAGGAAAAGGTTAAGACTTTTGGTAGAGATTTGTGGGATATATACAGAAAAGCAGTTTTAAAATATATGCAGTTACTAGCACACCTGTTTTAAAACTCCAGCTAAAATATGTAAGATGTATGTGTGTATATAGTATCCCTATATTTCTGTACAGAATACTGTGATATCTATTGATTAGTTGATCAGCCAGATGATCTCTTGGTATACAGATACTGGGATCACAGTGCTGAGTAAGGTAGACAAAGTGTCTCTCCTTTTGGAATTAACAGTCCAGTGGGGAAGAAAGTGACTCCAAAATAGTTATTCTTCAGGAAGGGACACACACACTTCTGGCCATTCTGCCAGGAGTTTCTGCATGTTTTGTTTTGAATTGTTAAATAGTATTCTCATCTTAGAGTTAGGGCTAGAATATCTTTAATTTCTATTTCTTGAACAGCAAGGATCTGATGAAGTTATTTGTCCTCAGCTATATAGTTTATAGTCAAGTTGGGATTCAGCTGCAGGCTCTCTGATTCCAGAACTTTAAACACGACACTGTATAATTTCTCATGATCTTACCATGATGATAAATTAAAGAAATATAAATATGAATGGAAATAAATTTAATTAATTTAATTTCTGGCTTAAGGGAGTTTTAAAATTAAGGCAAATCAATCAGGAACTGTTTCTCCCAGTAATGCATCAGCTGATACTCTCAGGTTTTGGTTTTTTTTTTGTCAGAGATTACATATCTTTACTGTTACTTTTAAAATCTTAACTGTATATGGGATGATAATGCTAAATTGACAAACCAGACCAGCATAAGATTAGGTGCTCTTGATCACTGGTCTGAGTCAGGGTTTTCACTAGAGCAACTAAAAGATATTTATTTAAGCACAGGACGTATGCTGCTGGATGCTGTGGGGTGCAGTGAGGTCCCATGTTACACAGGGTTTAGGTTTTAAAGATGTTTCAAGTTGAATTACATGAAGTTAAATTACCTTTGAAAAATCCCACTTCTCACACTGCTACCTCTGCCACCCTCATTTGCCACCAGTGTTTTTTGCCTGAATTATTGAAATATAGAAGGAAATATGCATGACTTTTTATCTGATCATCTGGTGCTGAAAGCAGTAGGAGTCATAAAGGAAAGGGGAACTTCCCTGACCCTTCTTTGACCACTTAAATTTAGTTCTGATAAACGTTGCAATACGTGTGAGCCTTGAAAACATTAAGTCTCCCAATTGGTCCTTCTGTCTCTGTTCTTGCTTTCTGATTGCTTGTTCTCCCCACACAGCCAGAATGATCTTTAAAAAGTGTAAATCAGAACACATTACCCCTCTGGTCAGTGCCTTTCACTGGCTCCCCATCTCAGAGTTAAAAACTAATTGCCACGATGGCCTATATGGGCCTATGTCATCCAGACCTCACTCTTTGACCTCTTCTTCTACTGCCTTTTGCTGCAGCCCCTGCCACATTTTTCTGGCTGTTCCTTCTTGTCTGTAGTAAGCTCCTACCTCAGGACCTTTGCATTTACTGTTTTTTCTGTCTTGAGGGCTCTTGACCCAAGAGCCCTCAAGGCAGAAAGGATATCTTATATCCTTAACCTCCTTTGGGATGTCACCACAATGAGGCCTTCACAGACTCTCCCATTTAAAATATCACATCCTCTTCCCCTTCATGCCTTTTTCTCCATAGCATTTAACACCATCTGATAAACAGTATATTCTTTGAATATGTATTTATTGTCTTCCCCACTAGCCAATATGGAATGTTCATGATGGCAGAGATTTTTTTGGTCTGTATTGATCACAGCTATATCCTATGCACCTAAAACATGACCCTTAGTAGGTACTCAATAAATTTTTAATCAGCGTATTAAAGTACATTGGTAGTTTTCACAATATTCTTTTTTTCCCCAGCTTTATTGAGATATAATTGACATACAGCACTGTGTAAGTTTAAGGTGTATAATGTAATGGTTTGATACACATATATATTGCAGAATGTTTACCAGATTAAGGTTAGTTAACACATCCTTCAACTCATATAATTACTTTTGTTGTTATGGTGAGAACATTTGAAGATCTACTTGTAGCAACTTTCAAGTATACAATACAGTAGTTTTAACTACAGTCATCATGCTGTGCATTAGGTCCTCAGAACTTATTCCTCTTGTAACAGGAAGCTTGTACCCTTTGACCAACGTCTTATTTCCCCTACCCCACACCCCCCGCCCCGTGCAACCACCTTTCTATGAGCTTGGCCTTTTTAGATTCCATATATATAAGTTACATAATATAGTATTTGTCTTTCTATGTCTGACTTATTTCACTTAGCATAATGTCCTCAAGGTTCATCCATGTTGTTTTGCAGATGGCAGGATTTTACAATATCCTTTAAAATCTGTTGTATTATATATGTACAGATACAATAATTTAGGCTTCATGGTTTTATGACTAAGAAATACTTAGTTGACTACTGGGATCACAACCCTAGTTTTCTGGCCAAGCAAGAAAGCTTTTAGACCAATCTTGACTTGTTTTAGTCTTTACTTAGTCAATGGAATATAAAATCAAATATTTTAAGATAGTAAGGAGATTGGGAAAAGAAAGTTTATGTGTTCTTCATCCCAATATAGCTTATTTTATTTCTTAGTTTCCGTTATTCCTTGTACTTAGATGTAGTCTATAGTGTGTGTGTGTGTGTATATATATATATAATAGTAGATTTTGAATTCTTTTGCTACTTCTGTTCATACGAGTTCTAAAAGTAACAATAAAAAAATAATCATGGGCTTCCCTGGTGGCGCAGTGGTTGAGAGTCCGCCTGCCGATGCAGGGGACACGGGTTCGTGCCCCGGTCCGGGAAGATCGCACATGCCGCGGAGTGGCTGCGCCCGTGAGCCATGGCCGCTGAGCCTGCGCGTCTGGAGCCTGTTGCTCCGCAACAGGAGAGGCCACAACAGTGAGAGGCCCGCGTACCGGAAAAAAAAAAAAAAGTAATCAAAATCCTTCTCTTAGTGATTCAGATTGGTGCTGTCATCTTTATAGGAGAAGAATGTCATGTTTTTGAGGAAATTTTCAGATAGAACATGTTTTTTAGTTCATAGTATAGGTTTTTCTTTGAGTCTGTTGTGAAATAAATTCTGTAGGAGGAGGCACTTAAAATTTTTGTCTGCTAACCCCCACCTTCCAACTTTCTTTCAGTTGGTAATTTTCAATTTCAGTTGAAGCAGCAGTAACAACATAGGAAAGCTTGTACCACGCCTGCCAATCTTTGCTTGATTTGAGATAAGATTTATGTTGTCCACTAGTATAATTGAAAGTATTTCTCAAACACCACAAAGTAGAAGACAGACAAGGTGAAGTGGTCTTGTTATGGTTGTTTTAAAAATGTTGTTTATCAGGGGTTTGCTGGTGGTCTAGTAATTAGGATCCTGCACTTTCACTGCTGTGGCCCGGGGTTCAATCCCTGGTTGTGCGGCTCAGCCAAAATAAAAAAAAATAAGTAAAATGTTGTTTATCTGAATAAAGTTGATTAAGTCTTGATCAAGCATATAAAAAGAGGTAGTCTCAGATGTTGAAATTAAAATGAAATGTTTGTGTTTTTTAGGAGATCATGAATCAGACAGATAAAAATCAACAAGAAATCCCATCATACCTTAGTGATGAACCACCAGAAGGTAAGTATGCATCTGTAATACTAAGAACGAAAAAAATCCTAGTGAATTAAACTTCTGATTGTTTTCATTAACTTTAAAGTAACATAACCTGTTTTCCTTGTCAGTAAATGTGTTCCAAAAATACTTAAACATTTTTAGCTTTTAATAAGAAAGCATAGATATTGGTAAATGGGGACATAATGTAACTTTTATATAAGGTCTATCAATATTTTTCTGCTACTCTTTTAAGACCATTTCACGAGTATCCTTTCACATGTAAAGAGTTGGGTGAGGTGCAGAGGAAGGATGGACTAGGTTATGTCATGCATATGAAAACTCACTTCAAGAGGCACTTGAGATTTGTTGTTAAACTCCTGTTATTCATTACATTATAATGGGTAACTCTTCCTTTTTAATACATGGTTTTAGTGTCTGCTTAATTTATTTTTTGGTGTGAAAATTGTGACATCAGGAATCATTTTATTCTTACCTTCAAAAATCTTTGGAAACACTAAATGCACACATGTATGTCCTCACTATGTACAGAAATAGAGTAGCTGTTTTCTTTATTTTCTCCCTTTATTTTTAAGGACTAGTAGTCTATAGAGTTTTGAAAAGAAAAGTTAGGGCTCAGTGAGAAAGTTAGGAAGGACTTATGAGAAAGAAGTCAGGAAAGAGATAAAGGCTGTCCAGGAGCATGATTGTTAAGGAAGAGAACAGCCTCAGGGATGTCTTTATATTGGCAACCTGTTAAAAGTAGTCTGCAAAGTGGATAATTTATATGGTGGTAATTAAGCGTACACTGTAATTTTTAAAAAAGAGTACACTGTAATTAAGAGATCAACAGCTTTAGTATGTATCTGATTTCACTAAGAAAAATTGCCTTCATTAAATGCATGTACACCAAATTTGGCATAGCAGGATAATACTAATGAGGTATTCAGCATGAGGTAGTTATCTGTTTTATCCTCAAATCAAGATTTTCCCCTTTTCCTAGTGTTACTAACCTTGATTACAAAAGAATGACCACTTATGTAATCCTTTCTATCATAATTTTATAATTAATATATTCAAATGCTTATCTATGTCTTAAGCCTTTTATTTCAGCTATTTTAAAATTTTTATATTAACTATGTTTATGACTCAGTTTCAATTAAACAGTTGGTTTTATAAATTTAGCCATTGCTATATCTTCATCAGTGAGCTATTTTGACTAATCAATGAGACTTTCTTCCTGTGAAAGGATGTAAAATCTCCAAACAGTGAAAAGAAAATCTTACTCAAGGTAAATTTGTGTCTGTGTATTTAAAGAAACTCAATTTTCAGATTTTTTTTCTCTTTCAAATATTGTTGGTTTTCCAATGTTACCTTCTCTGATGACCACATTCTGCTAGGTTATAGTAGCTTTGGGTGTCTTAGTTGAACTTACGTACCCAAGAATTTACCTTTCTTGTGTGAGATTATACCTTTTTAGTGGTTATAGCCTGAACTGTATAGTTATCAAGTATTTTTTCATGAAGTTTAAAAAAATAAAAACACTATTGCTTATGTGTTGTCACCACCTGAGTCATTAGATTATGAAGGAGAAAAGGTCTGTGTGTGTTTGAGGCTGGCAGAAGCAAATTTTTATGAAATCTTCCTGCTAGTCATTTTATGCTGGAGTTTGGGGTTACATGCCAGTTTGAGTGCCTCTATTAAACAAACAAAGAAACCAAAGAGAAAAGACTTGTGACAATAAATCTGAATATCTCATACTGATGTTACCTTTTCTGGGAGTATATGAAGAGTTTTTACAAACTAGATACTTAAATCACATACTCTCTTTTATAAAAATTACTGAGGCAGTGGAAGTATTAACCATAGCTCTGGTTTCTCCATGTTACAAAAAAGATTATATGTAGGTAACAGGATTTTAAGTGATGAATAATTTTCCTATTTTTACATATAATATTAGCTCTTTAAATACATTATTAAGGAGCACATAGAATAGAAACCCAAATATATTTAAGTTAGTGGTTCTCAAATTATTTTGTCTCAGGATGCTTTCTACTTTAAAAAAAATTGAGGATTCCAAAGAGCTTATGTCTTTGTTGATATTTGCCATATTAACAATAAAAACAGAAATTAAGTATCTTATTATGAAAAGAACTCGGTAGGCCCATTACATATTAACATATTTTTTGAAAAATATGAAACTATTTTCCAAAACAAAAAAAAAATTGTGAGCAGGGTGATTTGTTTGTTTGTGGCCATACCGTGTGGCTTGTGGGATCTTAGTTTCCCGATCAGGGATCAAATCCAGGCCCTTGGCAGTGAAAGTGCAGAGTCCTAACCACTGGACCACCAGAGAATTTCTGACATGGTTTTAAAATTTTTGCAAATCTCTTTAATATTTGGATTAATAGAAGAGAGCTAGATTCTCACAGTTTAGTCTTCTGTGTTTAGTCTGTTGTGTTACTGCCTGTCATTTAGCTTCTGGAAAATTCTGTTCTAGACTGGTGACAGAATGAAAGTGGAAGACAAATGACATGTTAATATTATTATGAAAGCAGTTTTTACCCCGAAATGGTCCTGGGGATACTCAAGGGTTCCAGACCATACCTGAGAACCAGTGCTTTAAATGAAGAAGGTTGTTTCAGTAATGACTGATTGAATTCTATCAAGGAAATAAGGGCTAAATATATTTATCTTTTTATTTTTTCATGCTCCTTTTAGGATATAAAATAAAGATGTTTTTATTAAAAGCAATTAAACTATAAATCAAGGAGACATTTAAAATAGTCTTCTATTTTATGAAAGTTGTCTAGTCTCTAAAGCATTCTTCTCATAGATACTAAGACTTAGCATTGGACCAAGATGTTTTAAAAACATGTACAACTATACCCTTGAGGGAAGAGCTATTGATGTCTTGATCAGATATGTATTTATGTGGTTGACCTTTTCAATACAATCTGCTGGTTGTTAGGAAGGTTACTCAGTGATTTGTACTGTTCTTATAAAGACTTACATTTGACTGTCTTATGATATTTTCTCTTATTAGGTTCAATGAAAGATCACCCACAGCAGCAACCAGGCATGCTGTCCCGTGTGACTGGGGGTATCTTCAGTGTTACAAAGGGAGCCGTTGGTGCCACCATTGGTGGTGTGGCTTGGATTGGTGGAAAGAGTCTGGAGGTGACCAAAACAGCTGTTACAACTGTGCCTTCCATGGGAATAGGGCTGGTGAAAGGGGGCGTGTCTGCTGTGGCTGGAGGTGTTACAGCTGTTGGCTCTGCTGTTGTAAACAAAGTGCCCTTAACAGGAAAGAAGAAAGACAAATCTGACTAAAATATGGAGATACACTTGCTCTCCACAGCATTATGATGCCAGTGGCATTGAATTGCTAAATTACAGACTACAACCAAGTCACCTGTTTTGGACGTTTATCTTCTAACTGCTGTGTTGAAAGTATTGATGACTGACTGGCTTTTGTCTAAAAGGAAGAGACCAATACTAGCACAGTGTATGAAGGTTTCTCATACTTAAATTCCAGCTTTTTATCTGGTAAAATGTTACACTTATTTAGTTGTAACTACAGATAAGGTATATTTGAATATTTACTACATAAGTCTTTCAGTTTAACTAAAAATGTGAAAGTTGAATTTAGTGGATGATCTTTACAGTTCCATATGTATAATGTGCCAGGTAACTCATCTGCCCCTTAAGAAGGGAACCTTGACCTACATAAATGTACCTTTGATGTGCCTAATAGTTTCAGATGTCTTAGTTTTTTTAATAACCATAGTTGATTAGACGAAGAGGCATTCTTTTCTTATTTAAGATGGTAAAAGTAGCAGGAACTAGAGAAGTTTAAAAGAAAAGATTCATGGTTTTATGAGTATTAACCATCTTTTGTTAGATAGGCATATATTAATTTAATCATTGATGCCTTACAAAAGAAAACATCTTTTCTAATACCCTGAATATGTGCAGTTCTTAGGATTATTATTATATATGGATTCTTTCAAAAGTTGTTTGTGAAATTAGTTTTCCCTCAAGAATCTCAGGATTAGTGACATAAAGGCATTTCTTGCTCTCAGCAGATTAGGATAGTGTTTGATAACTGTCAGTAGTTATAACCAAATTGTACACTTCAACCTGGGTTCATGCTCCATCATTAATAAACCTCACAGTGCCTAAGGAACATTTCTTTGCTGGTCAGAAGCTGTGTTAATAAAAGAGTTTCATATTAAGGAGGAAAACATAAATCATTTTAAGTTCTTAAGAATTACCTAAAGCATCCAAGATATAAAAAATTCTTCACACCTATTTTGTCTCCAGGATGGCTTAAGTTACTAGCAGTACCCCTTTCAAAAAACACAGTGAAAGCAGCCACAGATGTGTGGGGGCTGACTCTTAAATTGAACGGAATGGGCTCCATAGATTAGTTTTGAATGTAAAATATATGTAACTGCTGTCTGTTTGACAGGCTTTTAAAATGTCATCTTACACTCCTTTAAAGCAGCTGTAAACTTTGTACCATTTTCCAAGTCAACTTCAGGCAGGAAATTGAATTTTTTGGTTGCGGATGATAAGTGTGTTGTGTCTCATTAACGTCTCATCATGTCTCATTCATTCTAAAAGAATATGACTTAGCTGGAATTCATTTTTTTTTTTTTTTTTTGCGGTACGCGGGCCTCTCACTGCCGCGGCCTCTCCTGTTGCGGAGCACAGGCTCCGGACACGCAGGCTCGGGACGCGCAGGCTCAGCGGCCATGGCTCACGAGCCAAGCCGCTCCGCAGCATGTGGGATCTTCCTGGACCAGGGCACGAACCCGTGTCCCCTGCATCGGCAGGCGGGCTCCCAACCACTGCGCCACCAGGGAAGCCCGAATTCATCTTTTTTTTGTTTCATAAAAATTTTAAAAGTGGCATTTCTCTTAACCAAGGGTTTAATCCCAGCCTGAAAAATCTTAATTTTCCTTCACTTAAGTTTGGAAATTTGCCACCATTCTGCAGACTTTTTTTTTTAACGAGCAAGGGGAAGAAAGGAGGTGATGCTCTGGAGTAAGTCAAAACAGCATTCCTGAGAACTTAGATCACTCCAACACCCAAAGCTTAAGTGTCTGTCTGCAACCCACTAAGAGTTTTACATTAATAATGTGGATCAACAAATGGGTAAGAACAAAACTTAGCTTTTAAAAGCTTTCATAAATACCAGCAGGGATTGAAGTAAATCCACAAAGGTTCTTGAACCTTTCTACCATATACAACACTGGAAAGTCATTAGGGAGTTAATCAAAAATTAAATTGTTGTTTATTTCATCCAGTATGATTAAACATATATTTGTTCGTATATCTGGTCAAATGTCATAATTAGCAAGGGGATTTAAAAAAAAAAACCAAAATTAACGGATGAACACTAAATAATGATCTAAGTAATGATATTGGAGAATTTGTTTCCTGCTATTTGAAAGAAATTATTGCTTCATTGCTAGCTTATATTTCTAAATTATCTTCTTATCTTCATTGGCTCTGCCGTGCTTTGTACCTGAATTTCTAAATATAGACTTTAGTTTACTGTATGCTTGAATATTTATTTTCAACTTTGCTTGTCTTTAAAATTGCTTGAGGAAAAATGGTTGTAATTAATTTCTGCTACAGAAAAGCCACCTGGTACATTTTATCTCATCAAGTTTGTTTTAAATTTTAAATTATAACTTTGTTCAGGAGAGGCTTTGCAATGATAGCAGAGAACTTGTACAAATGAAGTTAGTTGTAGACGTTCTTGTTGAAATGAACTTGCCATTTGATGATATGTAAAGCTGTACACTTGAGTCTTTTTCTGTTTATTTCGTAGACTAGCAATCTGACCTGTTAAACAGTACTAGTTCACTTCAAGAAGCTAATAAGGTGGTTGTTGTATACACCTGGAGGCATCTGTTATTCAGCTTATCTTTTGAGTGGGTATTCAACACAATGAGGATAAACTTGTGTGACCCACTTGAATGACTGATCTAATAATGTTGACGTTATGAATCCTGTACTTAGTGAAATGTCAGATGAAAATAACTGATGACTGAATAAATTTTTTTGTATTAAAGGAATGGGAAAAGAAGACATGAATCTTTAATAAAGCACTATGATCTGCAAAAGACGAACTGTTTCATAAAGATCTAAGGAAATAAAGGAAATTTTAAAACAGGGTAGTCTTAAAATTTTAGTTATATAGAAATTCAGAAAGTACTGTAGCCAGTTTTTAAATTTTTTTATACTAATGCAACATGACAGAACATCTCCAAATATGAATTTTGATGCCAACACAACAATGAAATACAAATATATTTTAAACAACTCTAATAAAGATTAAAAATGCAGATTTCTGGGTTTGACTGCAATTTGCTGAATCTCTGCAGGGTGGGATCCAAGAGTGCAGTTTAACAACCTCTGCAGGTGATTCTTTTGCAGTCTAAAACTTGGGAACTGATGGAGGAATTATAAAGTAGGGAGCACACTTCCCTCTGTCCTAAGCAGCTGTGGAACCAACTTAGACCTCTTACTGGCCAGAAGTGACTCAAAGGGATGGGAACCAGTTGGAGGAAGGAAGAAAATTGATATTTACTGGGCATCTACTTACCTACCAGGTACTGTCCATAAATTCTCTGATTTAATCAGTATGAGGACCTTATGAGGAAAAGTATCTTTATTCCCTTTTTACAAATATGGAGCAAGCACAGTTCCAGTGTTGAATTTCCCGTAACACTTTTGAATTTGTGTAAGTCAGAACCTCTCCATCTTATGTCCAGAAACAAAGGGGACTACTCAGTAGCTAGTCCTTCATTCCGCTGCTGGCATTAGTGCTGCCTGTATGCTTGATTTACCAGGCTGTCTGATTTGAGCTCACTGGAAGTCTTCTGGGTGATCATATTTACTTTGGCAGCTAATTACATTTTGCCACAGATATGAATTTATACATAAACTGTTTAAAGGAAATCATGTATTTTGTTATAGCCTTTTTTTCACAGAGGAAATGAAATTTGACTCTAGTGTTTTATGTAAGGATATCTCCCCCTGTTACGTTGTTTTTGAAAATCTAAAATTTTATTTGTAGGAAGATCTGAGTAAGAATGCAAGAATAGAAAAAGGCAGAGGTACAAGGGCTAAAAGATAACGGACTAGGATTTGGTCTAAAGGACAGGTCAGTATACTGCATGTTTGACCATGAATGTGGATTTATTTTAGTTTAAACTTCTCAAGTTAGAGTAAGCTACAAATGCATTTCTGTAACCATAACTGCCCCATTTGCTGCTGTACTGACAAAGCTCTTCATGGCCACAAAGCACACATGGCCACTCAACTCTGCTAAACTTTCTTATATACCTTCATGTTTGTTTACTTTCCTACTCCTCAAAGTGACTATTTCATACCTCCTCTTTCCACCTCTCCTGCTATACTCCCCTCCTCCCATTCTAAATCTCTCTGTAAAAAGAGGCAACCAGACAGTAAGACTCCTGCCTCTCACAATGCACACTCTATCAACCTGCCTGCATCTGTTCCCATGCTCTGTGGACCAGGACTAGTAGCTCTGCTTTTATCCGAAGTCAGTCCACCTTCACTTCCTCAAGGATATTAATCCTTAAAATTAATTGATTTTCCATCTCATCCATCTCTCTCTCCTTGGGTCATACCCATCGGCATATAAACATTTTCCACTGTTCTTTAAAGAAAAATTAATCTCATAATCTCCATTTTTCTGCTTCCTTTTGCAGCAAAACTTCTTGAAAAACTATATAGTCTCTGACTCTTCCTCTATTCTTTTTTTTTTTTAAAATATATTTATTTATTTAGGCTGCGTTGGGTTTTTGTTGATACGTGCGGTCTTCCTCTGGTTGAGGCGAGCGGGAGCTACTCTTCGTTGCAGTGTGCAGGTTTCATTGCAGTGGCTTCTCTGGTTGCAGAGCATGGGCTCTAGGCACGCAGGCTTCAGTAGTTGCGACATATCGGCTCAGTAGTTGTGGCTTGTAGGCTCTAGAGCGCAGGCTCAGTAGTTGTGGTGCATGGGCTTAGTTGCTCCGCAGCATGTGGGCTCTTTCTGGACCAGGGCTCTGACCCATGTCACCTGCATTGGCAGGCGGATTCTTAGCCACTGCACCACCAGGGAAGCCCTCATCTCCTATTCTTTCAACCCACTCTAGCTGCCTTCTTACCTTTCTCATTCCACCAGAATTACTTTTTTAAAAAAATTTATTTATTTTTGGCTGAATTGGCTCTTCGTTGCTGTGTGTGGGCTTTCTCTAGTTGCGGTGAGTGGGGGCTACTCTTTTGTTGCAGTATGTGGGCTTCTCATTGCGGTGGCTTTTGTTGCAGAGCATGGGCTCTAGGCACGTGGGCTCCAGTAGTTGTGGCTCATGAGCTCGTGGCAGGCTCAGTAGTTGTGGCGCACGGGCTTAGTTGCTCTGCAACATGTGGGATCTTCCTGGACCAGGGCTCAAACCTGTGTCCCCTGCATTGGCAGGCAGATTCTTAACCAGTACACCACCAGGGAATCCCCCAGAATCACTCTTGATAGGGCCAACCAATGATTTCCCTCTAGCCAGATCCACTAGTCACTTCTCCTTATCTTAGTTGACCTCCCCATGGTATTCAATATTATTGAAAATGCCCTCTTTTCTTGGCAGACTTACTCTGGTCAATCCTTTCTAGGCTTGGTCAGCCACTACTCCAAATCTATCTTCTTTCTGGCAGTCTCACCCAGAGCTATAGCTTTAAATACCATAGATATGTAGATGATCCCTGATTATCTGTATCTCCAGTCCTGATTTCTCACTACTCCAGACTTCACCATTTTTCTATTTGAAATCTCTGCTCAGATTCTTGTAGGCATCTCAAAATTGACATCTAACATAGAACTACCAAGGTGACCATATAATGTGTAATGTATTCCAAACTGAGATACTTTTGAGGGTGAAAGCACTGCTGATAATTTCGTCAGCATAAACTAAAATCTGCCAAAGCGTTTCCCATCACATTTAGAATGAGATCCTGTTCCTTAGATGGACCTGTGATGCTCATCTTGTGTCACTCTTCCCATCACTTAACTCTGCCCCGACTATACTGGCTGCCATGCTTTCTCTTGAACAGACATTTCTGTGTGACTTTAAGTGACTTACCCTCTCTGTGCCTGAATGTCCTCATCTGTTAGAACAATAAACAGTGGTACTCAGCTCTTAGAGTTGTAAAGCACAACGTGCCCAGCACTTAGTAGGTGCTGCACAGAGATACCTTTCGCTTTCCTAACTAAGGAACTTAACAGATGTGGAGAGTGAGAGTTGCCTGCATTTGCTGATTGAAGGAATAGAGTGAAGATGTGGCCTGCATTTTTCATAATTTTTTCATCACTTAAGGCCACGCACACATAGCGCAGATGTTTGAGTGTCAAGAGTCAATTGTTTGTGTATTTGTTAGAGTTCAAACTCCACAGCTGAAAGTGAGCCAGTCTTTATTTGCATAATATTTATCTTGGAACAAAGTTTAGAAATAGAAACTTGAAACCTAACTAAAATCAGTACCAACCATCACACACTTTACCTTTCATATTTTACAGTCAGACCTGGATTTTCAGAAAGTTTATACAAATTAGATCATTTCAAATTTAAGGAATTTTACAGAGATATTTTCATAAAAATCCCTAAATTTGTAGTTGGTACTCTTTTAGCATGTCAGGTAGGAGTGACTTTTCTTATGCCAACTCATAAGCAATCCTTTTTCTGTTCACAAGGTTTGAACAGAAGAGAGATCTTAGTAAATCTGGGCTCTGGCATGTGGCAGCTGGATGGCTCTCTAAGCTTGTTTCCTCATCTATAAAAAGGGGAAAGTAATAAATGCACATGAAAGTGTTTCATGAGATAAAATAGTCAATTTTAAACCACACAAATAAGCTCTAATTATTCCTTTTGATGGGCAATACTTGGTTCTCAAAGATATTCCCTTATTCCAACCTGGAGATGAAATCAACTTTCTCCACAAAAATGTATTAGAAGTTTGCTAATGTTTCACTAAACACTAAGCTACAGAATTCACACCATAGTAGAGTGATGTTTCAGAGCTGGTGGTGAGAAAGAAGGCTGGGTCTGCATCCCAGGTGAAATGTGCTATATGAGTAAAAATGTATCCATACTTTGAATGGAGTGCACTTGTCAGTTTCTTAGAAATTACTCACTTATAAAATATCACACTGATAGACCATTTAATAGTTTTTTAAAATAGCTCAAGGTCAAAATTACAAACTTTATTTAAAATAAATGCAATTTATATTTTTAAGTACAGCAACTGAGTGAGAAATTTTCTACTTAGAGGTCATTTAAACACAACTCAGAAGCTAAGTAGGTTCTTAAAATTACTGGTGCCCACAATATGCCTGAATCACTTAAGTTTTTGCTACTCGGTTTTACTCAGCACTGATAGAAAGAAGCATCAGTCAGCAAGTTACTCTTCAATATTTAATGGTGCCACAGGATTAAATAATGGCCTACCTTTTTTGGCCTGAATTTTACCAAAGTTAGCCTCAAACTCTTTTTTTGTTCCATTTAGATATGCTAGATATCCATCCTTTATTCTATAGCCTAAGGAATTCAGTTTCCTTACCCTGTACTGTACTATTTGTGGCGTTAATTCAAGAACCTTTGGCGTCTCTCTTATCTGAGCTATGGAAATTCCTTCTTTCAATAATCCCTGAATTCTCTCTTCCAAAACTGGAACGGAATAATATAAAAGGGCAGGACATTTCAAAACTAATTGCTTCAGGTCATGATCAGTACATTTAAAAGCATTTTTAGAGAAGGACATACTGTTCTGTATACTTCTTGGGCAAAGTTGAAACAGAAATCCTTTGAGTTTGGAGAGAAGTTGGAGAATTTCAAAGTTTGTAAAACCCTGCTCCTGGAGAAATTCTAGTGTTTCCTTTATAGATGCAGAAGAATTTAACAAAATAAATGGGTTTTGGCTTAATAATTTTAGTAGCCAAACTTTCATGTTGACCTCAGAGCCACCTAAATTTAGATAACTCTCTTGAAGAACATTTATCATTTGCTTATTCTTCTCAATAGGAGTGTGAAAAATACTAGATGCAGTTGTCAAAAACCTACTAATGACCACATTTTTGAATCCCAACTCTTGAAAGAATTGGACATTCAGCTTCTGGTTTTCCTGGTCTTGAACAGTAAAGAAAGATTCTGGAAACTGTTCTATTAACTTAACTAACTCTTTCTCGTTCTTGCAAACCGACTGCCAGAGTTCTCTCTGGGTGTTAACAGCAGGTGGACTGCATTTAATTGCTTCTGGGCAGCGTTCCAAGATAGTGGCTACAGCAGTCTCATCGGCACCTAGCTGTTGTAAAATATTTGCAATTTCTTCAACATAGGTTTCATCCTCCAGAAGTACCCATCCTTTTAATCTTCGAATTTTCCTGATGTCAACTGACAATTTATAGAGCTTTTCTACTGTCTTTTTATTTTCTCTATTTGACTGATTATCAGTTGTATAGGTGAAGGATGCTAGAAAAGGTGTGTATTTTGGAGCTGATAGCATCTTTCTGAAAGAACAGAGCCTGCAGGGCTGGGATCTCATCAGCAACTTCCACAACATGCCTGCAATCCACTGGCTAATTCCCACCATCCTGAGACTCAGAAGGTACTCATCATACCTATATCAAAGAAAATACAGGTTTTTAACATAAAGGGTGTTGACTTTCAGAATACAAACACAAATTTGAGCTGTAAGTAGTAAGCATGGAAATAAAACGGACTTAAATTAGACAACTCATGTGGAGTATATTAAATAGAGCCTCTTAAATAATTGATGAACTAACTGTAATACACTGCTTCACATCTTAAACTTTATAAATACATTGTCTGAGTTTTCAACAACCTCGTGCAGTAGTTAGTTCCATTTTACAGACCAGTAGCAAAACCACAAGGAGTTCAAAGATTCACAAACCTCAAATGTTATTTTGACACACACTCCCTTTCAACTCTGATACGTTCAGGTTTAGGACACATACGCTATTTACACACACCCACTTTTTTTTGTTTTAACATTTTACATTTTCAAGCTGATGTTTAGCTGAAGCAAATACTTTTTAAGGAGGGGTGTCAACTCTAATTTTATATTTTAGAGTAAATATTCTTTTGCTAAATAACTATTATCAAAATAAGTCAGTGAATTTGTTTTCTCTAAAATGAGTGAATAAATGTATGCTTTTTTATGAGAATTATGTGAAAAACTTTTTTATAAATCTAGAATTAAAATAAGTCTCAGCCAGGTAAAATGAGGAATGCCATGTGACTGCCCTAGTGAAGCCATAGAAAATCAGGTTAGCTGTGGAATGGTGACCATGGCTTATTTCACTTAGCATAATGTCTTCAAGCTTCATACACTGTGTAGCATGTGTCAGGACAAATCGGTTAATTTTAATTGGTCAAAGGATCAAGGAAGTTTCCCTTTCCTTTAGGATTCCTACTGCTTTTATGCATCAGATGAAAAGATAAAAATTCATCCCTATTTGCTTCTATATTTTTGTTTGAAATTTATTTTTCAGTCCCTGTTTTTTTTTTTTAACATCTTTATTACAGTATAATTGCTTTACAATGATGTGTTAGCTTCTACTGTATAACAAAGTGAATCAGCTATACCTATACATACATCCCCATATCTCCTCCCTCTGGCATCTCCCTCCCACCCTCCCTATCCCACCCCTCTAGGTGGACAAAAAGCACCAGGCTGATCTCCCTGTGCTATGCAGCTGCTTCCCACTAGCTATCTATTTTACATTTGGTAGTGTATATATGTCCATGCCACTCTCTCACTTCGTCCCAGCTTCCCACTTCCCGTTTCCTTAAGTCCATTCTCTATGTCTGTGTCTTCATTCCTGTCCTGCCCCTAGGTTCTTCAGAACCATTTTTTTCTTTTTTTTTAGATTCCATGTATATGTGTTAGCATATGGTATTTGTTTTTCTCTTTCTACTTACTTCACTCTGTATGACAGTCTCTGGGTCCATCCACCTCGCTACAACTAACTCAGTTTCGTTTCTTTTTATGGCTGAGTAATATCCCATTGTATATATGTGCCACATCTTCTTTATCCATTCATCTGTCAGTGGACACTTAGGTTGCTTCCATGTCCTTGCTATTGTAAATAGAGCTGAAATGAACATTGTGGTACATGACTCTTTCTGAATTATGGTTTTCTCAGGGTATATGCCCAGTAGTGGGATTGCTGGGTCGTATGGTAGTTCTATTTTTAATTTTTTGAGGAACCTCCATACTGTTCTCCATAGCGGCTGTATCAATTTACATTCCCACCAACAGTGCAAGAGGGTTCCCTTTTCTCCACACCCTCTCCAGCATTTATTGTTTGTAGATTTTTTGATGATGGCCATTCTGACTGGTGTGAGGTGATACCTCATTGTAGTTTTTATTTGCATTTCTCTCATGATTAGGGTGTTGAACATCCTTTCATGTGTTTGAAGGCAATCTGTATATCTTCTTTGGAGAAATGTCTATTTAGGTTTTCTGCCCATTTTTGTATTGGGCTGTTTGTTTTTTTGATACCGAGCTGCATGAGCTGCTTGTATATTTTGGAGATTAATCCTTTGCCAGTTGCTTCATTTGCAAATATTTTCTCCCATTCTGAGGGTTGTCTTTTCGTCTTCTTTATGGTTTCCTTTGCTGTGCAAAAGCTTTTAAGTTTTATTAAGTCCCGTTTTTTAATTTTTGTTTTTATTTCCGTTTCTCTAGGAGGTGGGTCAAAAAGGATCTTGCTGTGATTTATGTCACAAAGTGTTCTGCCTATGTTTTCCTCTAAGAGTTTTATAGTGTCTGGCCTTACATTTAGGTCTTTAATCCATTTTGAGTTTATTTTTGTGTATGGTGTTAGGGAGTGTTCTAATTTCATTCTTTTACTCGTAGCTGTCCAGTTTTCCCAGCACCACTTACTGAAGAGGCTGTCTTTTCTCCATTGTATATTCTTGCCCCCTTTATCAAAGATAAGGTGACCATATGTGCATGGGTTTATCTCTGGGCTTTCTATCCTGTTCCACTGATCTATATTTCTGTTTTTGTGCCAGTACCATACTGTCTTCATTACTGTAGCTTTGTAGTATAGTTTGAAGTCAGGGAGCCTGATTTTTCCAGCTCTGTTTGTCTTTCTCAAGATTGCTTTGGCTACTCGGGGTCTTTCATGTTTCCATACAAATTGTGAAATTTTTTTGTTCTAGTGCTGTGAAAAATGCCAGTGGTAGTTGGGTAGGGATTGCACTGAATCTGTAGATTGCTGTGGGTAGTATAGTTATTTTCACAATGTTGATTCTTCCAATTCAAGAACATGGTATATCTCTCCATCTGTTTGATCATCTTTAATTTCTTTCATCAGTGTCTTATAGTTTTCTGCATACAGATCTTTTGTCTCCTTAGGTAGGTTTATTCCTATGTATTTCATTCTTTTTGTTGCAGTGGTAAATGGGAGAGTTTCCTTAATTTCTCTTTCAGATTTTTCATCATTAGGGTATAGGAATGAAAGAGATTTCTGTGCATTAATTTTGTATTGTGCTACTTCACCAGATTCATTGATTAGCTCTAGTAGTTTTCTCGTGGCATCTTTAGGATTCTGTATGTATAGTATCATGTCATCTGCAAACAGTGACAGTTTTACTTCTTCCTTTCCGATTTACTTCTTTTTCTTCTCTGATTGCTGCGGCTAAAACTTCCAAAACTATGTTGAATAATAGTGGTGACAGTGGGCAACCTTGTCTTGTTCCTGATATTAGTGGAAATGGTTTCAGTTTTTCACCATTGAGAATGATGTTGGCTGTGGGTTTGTCATAAATGGCCTTTATTATGTTGAGGTAAGTTCCCTCTATGCCTACTTTCTGGAGAGTTTTTGTCAAAAAATGGGTGTTGAATTTTGTCGAAAACATCTTCTGCATCTATTAAGATGATCATATGGCTTTTCTCCTTCAATTTGTTAATATGATTTATCACATTGACTGATTTGCATATATTGAAGAATCGTTGCAATCCCACTTGATCATGGTGTATGATCCTTTAAATGTGCTGTTGGATTCTGTTAATATGATTTATCACATTGACTGATTTGCATATATTGAAGAATCGTTGCAATCCCACTTGATCATGGTGTATGATCCTTTAAATGTGCTGTTGGATTCTGTTTGCTGGTATTTTGTTGAGGATTTTTGCATCTACGTTCATCAGTGATATTGGCCTGTAGTTTTCTTTCTTTGTGATATCTTTGTCTGGTTTTCATACCAGGGTGATGGTGGCTTTGTAGAATGAGTTTGGGAGTGTTCCTCCCTCTGCTATATTTTGGAAGAGTTTGAGAAGGATAGGTGTCAGCTCTTCTCTAAATGTATGATAGAATTCGCCTGTGAAGCCATCTGGTCCCAGGCTTTTGTCTGCTGGAAGATTTTAAATCACAGTTTCAATTTCAGTGCTTGTGATAGGTCTGTTTATATTTTCTATTTCTTCCTGGTTCAGTCTCAGAAGGCTGTGCTTTTCTAAGAATTTGTCCATTTCTTCCAGGTTGTCCATTTTATTGGCATATAGTTGTTTATAGTAATCTCTCATGATCCTTTGTATTTCTGCATTGTCAGTTGTTACTTCTCCTTTTTCATTTCTAATTCTGTTGATTTGAGTCTTCTCCCTTTTTTTCTTGATGAATCTGGCTAATGGTTTATCAATTTTGGTTATCTCCTCAAAGAACCAGCTTTTAGTTTTATTGATCTTTGCTATCGTTTCCTTCATTTCTTTTTCATTTATTTCTGATCTGATCTGTATGATTTCTTTCCTTTTGCTAACTTTGGGGTTTTTTTGTTCTTCTTTCTCTAATTGCTTTAGGTGTAAGGTTAGGTTGTTTATTTGAGATGTTTCTTGTTTCTTTCTGTTTTTGGCTGCTTTGGGTCTTCTTTGCTGCGTGCCGGCTTTTTCTAGTGTGGGAAGCGGGGACTACTCTTCATTGTGGTGGGCAGGCTTCTCATTGCAGTGGCTTCTCTGGTCATGAAGCATGGACTCTAGGCGCGTGGGATTCAGTAGTTGTAGCTTGCGGGCTCTAGAGAGCAGGCTTAGTAGTTGTGGCGCACAGGCTTAGTTGCTCCACAGCATGTGGGGTCTTCCCGAACCAGGGCTCAAACCCGTGTCCCCTGGATTGGCAGGCAGATTCTTAACCACTGCGCTACCAGGGAAGTCCCATTTCTTGTTTCTTGAGGTAGGATTGTATTGCTATAACCTTCCCTCTTAGAACTGCTTTTGCTGGATCCCACAGGTCTTGGGTCATTATGTTTTCATTGTCATTTATTTCTAGGTATTTTTTTGATGTCCTCTTTGATTTCTTCAGTGAGCTCTTCATTATTTAGTAGTATATTATTTAGCCTCCCATGTGTTTGTATCTTTTACAGATTTTTTCCTGTAATTGATATCTAGTCTCAGCGTTGTGGTCGGAAATGATACTTGATACGATTTCAATTTTCTTAAATTTACCAATGCTTGATTTGTGACCCAAGATATGATCTACCCTGGAGAATGTTCCATGTGCACTTGAGATTTAATCCACTGCTCCTGAGGCTGCTGGGAGAGATTTCCCTTTCTCTCCTTTGTTTGCACAGCTCCTGGGGTTCAGCTGTGGATTTGGCCCCACCTCTGTGTGTAGGTCACCTGAGGGCGTCTGTACTTCACTCAGGACGGGGTTAAAAGAGCAGCTGATTAGGGGGCTCTGGCTCACTCAGGCTGGGGGGGAGGGAGGGGTATGGAATGTGGGGCAAGCCTGCAGCAGCAGAGGCCGGCGTGACATTGCAACAGCCTGAAGTGTGCCATGTGTTCTCCCAGGGAAGTTGGCCCTGGATCACGGGACCCTGGCAGTGGCGGGCTGCACAGGCTCCCGGGAAGGGAGGTGTGGATAGTGACCTGTGCTCGCACATAGGATTCTTGGTGGCTGTAGTAGCAGCCCAGCATTTCATGCCTGTCTCTGATGTCCATGCTGATAGCTGCGACTCGCGCCCATCTCTGGAGCTCATTTAGGCGGTGCTCTGAATCCCCTCTCTTTGCGCACCCTAAAACAATGGTCTCTTGCCTCTTAGGCAGGTCCAGACTTTTTCCCAGACTCCCTGCTGGCTAGCTGTGGCACACTAGCCCCCTTCAGGCTATATTCACGCAGCCAACCCCAGTCCTCTCCCTGGGATCTGAACGCCAAAGCTTAAGCCTCAGCTCCCAGCCCCCGCCCGCCCTGGCGGGTGAGTGGACAACCCTCTCAGGCTGGTGAGAGTCAGCACCGATCCTCTGTGCGGGAATCTCTCCGCTTTGCCCTCTGCACCCCTGTGGCTGCGCTCTCCTCTGTGGCTCCGAAGCTCCCCACCCCGTGCCCACCCCCCGTCTCCACCAGTGAAGGGGCTTCCTAGTGTGTGGAAACTTTTCCTCCTTTACAGCTCCCTCCCCGAGGTGCAGGTCCCATCCCTGTTCTTTTGTCTCTGTTTTTCCTTTTTTCTTTTACCCTACCCAGGTACGTGGGGAGTTTCTTGCCTTTTGGGAAGTCTGAGGTCTTCTGCCAGCATTCAGTAGGTGTTCTGTAGGAGCTGTTCCACATGTAGATGTAGTTTTGATGTATTTGTGGGGAGGAAGGTGATCTCCACGTCTTACTCCTCTGCCACATTGAAGGCACCTGACCTTTGTTTGAATTTTAAAAGCTAGCTCCTTTAATTCATTTGAAATTTCTGATTGTGAGCTAAGAATGTAAATAGATTTTATCAATAGGTTAGCTATCTCTAAGCACCATGTTTGAACAATCCTTTCCTTCCCCATGATTTGTGATGCCTCCTTTGTTATACTGTATTTAATGTAGTTTCTGTTTCTAGCTAGCCTCTGTCCTCACTCCCCTACTATTTTTGCAATTCCCTGAATGAGCCAGGTGGCTAATTTCCGGCCTTTGCTGTTTACTTGGCTCCCTCTGCCAGACCATCCTAAAACAATCTCTGGTCAACTCACTCTTTCTCATCCCCCAACAACTATGTCAAATCTTCTCAACTCAGATCTCCAGCTTCCCCTGACACCCATTCTCTCCTTCACTCTCAACCAATATCCTTGCCTCTAACTTGTACAAAGAAAGGAGTGCAATTCATCATACCAAACATAAACCTTCTGCTATCTCCCCTTCCCTACAATGACATCTTTCATCATGCAGGGTAATTCCTGCTCCTGTGCTGATCCCAGCCTCTCTGGCCTGAAGTGTCTAGAGCCCTTTCTCATGTATTCACTCCTTCAGCTGCATCCTCCTCTCTGAGGTTCCCACCCTTCACCTCAGTGGCTCTTTCTCTCACTGCCCCTCCAACTAAAATCCCGTTTTTCTCTTCCCCTCAGGTTAATTCTTGCAGCTCCTTCTTTCTTTCCATTTCCTCTCTTCCTATGTATACAACTTCCCATAAAGACAACTTTCATGTGATTAAAGCCAGTGAGTAGTTTTAGTTCCTCCCTCTTTTGACACTGGCAGTTTTCAGCATAGGTGACCACTTTCTCTGTGAAATACTCATACCTGACTTCCAAAACCTCCCACTCCCCTGGTTCTCCTCCTTCCTTCCTACACTCCTGACTGTCCTTTAGTTGTCTCCTCTGCAGGCTCATCTTCAAGGCTTGGTTCTAGGCCCTCTCCTCTTCTTACCTTAGAGTTTCTCCCCAGAGATCCTGTCCTCATCCGGGGCTTCTTAATCCACTTGGGCTTCTTTCCAGCTTCTTCTCAAAATGTGATCTTGTCACCTCCCTGCAATAACTTTCTGATGGCACTTTAGGATAAAGACACAAAGTAAAAAAGCCTTACAATGGCCTGCAAGGCCTCGTTGTCTTAGGCTTTGTCACCACCCAAATCTCCTGTCCCCCTCTGCCTACACCAGCTGCACCAGCTTCCTTTCTGCCCCTGGTGCTTTACCTGTTCCCATCACTGGGTCTCTGAGGACTGAGGGCTAACCCCTATGCCCACAATGCTCCTAACTCCTAGGTCTAAGTGTCACTTTCTCAGGGAAAGTTCCCTGCCCTTCATGAATAGATGAGGCTTCCTGTCCCCCTGACAGGCTCTCTTATCACCATGGACTGTTCCTATGTGCCACTTGTCATAGCTGCAGCTGTTCATGAGTGGTTTCTGTCTCACCCTCCATGAGGGCAGAAACGTTTACTGCCATGTTCCAATGAATTGCTTCCCTACCTTTCACCTGGCTAGCACTGCTGACTCTAGGAGGCATTCCTGGGCAGGTGACTTTCATGTGTGCTCTTCCACAGCACCCTGCTCTTGACCCTACTGTGGCACTTACACTCCTGTAAGTTCTTCATTCATTCAACCAGTTTTTTTTGTTTTTGTTTGTTTGGCTCATTCTGTGTGTCAGGCATTATGCTAGATACTAGCTTTTCTGCTAAAATGTTTCTTCATACCTTTGAATCACAGAGTACACGGTTTGAGCCACACTCCCTCTCTTTTCCAGAAAAGGACCCATATTCACATTTTGCAAAAGACTTTAGCAGGGTTCATGAGCACCCTGCAGTCTATGAACAACCTGCACCAGATTGCAAGCACCTGGAAAGCAGGGTCTGCGTGCTCTTCTACTTTATCCCCTGTACCCAGCAAACAACTTGGTCCACAGAAACAAAATCAGTATCTGTCAATGACAAACCAAGTTCACTACAACTTAATGTAGTGGGTAAAGCTGTGGGCTGCCTGGGCTTAATTCCTGGTCATTAGTTGTGCTGTGACTTGAGGAAGTCACTTCACCTCTCTGTGCCTCAGTTTAAGCACCAGGAAAATGGCATCACTAGGTGTTCGTGAAGATTACATCGTGGGTGATTGTGAAGGTTAAATTAATTAATACCATAAATGACAAAGCATTCAGAAACTCATTAAACCATCACAGCAACCCATTTTAAAGATGAGTTAACAGATGCATGTAAAGTAGCCCAAGGTTGGTCAGCTAATAAAGGGCAGACCTTGGATTCAAACCCAACAGCTTAGCTGAGTCCTGCTCTTAGCCCTGTGCTCTGCACATAGCAATGATCCAGGTAAATGTTTTCTAAATCACAACGTGGTTTATTTTCTGATACTTCATGTTTCTTAAGCGTTTTTGAGGAGTGAAACCCACTTCTGTAATATGCACAATTTTCATAACACGGTTCCCTCGACGAACACCGGTAATTCAGTTAACTTCTACTTTTATAACATGTACGACCTGCTGACAGTTTCAAATTAACCCCAATGTTTGTAAGAAAGGAAAAACGAGGGCCCAAAGCAGAGGATACTGGGGAGCGATCGAAAGCCGCACATCCATCATGTGGGGCCTGCGCTCATATCCAGAGAAACTTCCGACCTGCCGCGCCCCAGCGTCCACCCAGCTCCCGAGCCAGCCAGGCGGAGCTGAGCAGCTGGCGGGAAGTCTGGCTTCACGGTGGGTAGCTCCCGACTCCAGCCTCTCGGCCGCTCTGCGGCCGGAGACGATCACCCCCAGGGGCGCAGGACCGGGGCGACTCACCTGTCGGCGTCCACTCTGCATAAGGCGCGAGTTCCGGGTCTCTGGCTCCGTCCTCCCCCACTCCCCAGGCCGAGGCTCCCCGCAGCCTGGCGTCCTCCCGAGGCCTGGGAACAGGGGCCAGGGTCCCAAGCCGCCAGCCAATTCCCCTCAGCAGCTCCGGCCCCGCTTCGCGGAACCCACAGACACGCCCTGGAGCTCCCAACGCAGCCAATCAGAGCGCGGGTCGCAGGCTACGTGACCCTCCTGACGCAGCGCGGCGGGCCGGGGCCGGGCGGAGTGGAGGGGACCTGCGGAGTTGGGCCAGCGTGCGAGTCAGCTGTCCGGCGAACAGCGCCTCTGGCCGGTAAGTATTGCTTCCGGCATTTTCTCACCCTTTCCCTCCCAGTATTTTAGAGAACTTGGAGTTTCAGTCCTTTTGCCCCTTGGGGAGTGTCACTAGCCCGGGAGAAAAAAAGGGTAGAAATAACTCAAACCGCTATATCTTTAAGCTATATCTTTAAGCTACAGCCATTCAGAATTCCCAAAATTAGTCGATAGGTAAAGAACTAAGTTACGAAAGAACGTAGTTTAAAAAATCCCGAAACTTCTCTGGTACATATCTAGCTTTCCTGCCCCCTCCCCACCCCAATCCAGCAGTCAGCTACAGTGTCTGATGCGTCTTTAACAGCCTCCCTCCTGCTGCTTTCACCCAAATACTCACCTTTTCTGATAAACTGCTAGGTGCTTTACATTCTATTTATTACCTGTGATGCCAACCTCATAGACTAACAAATTTCTCCTTAAAGCCAGGCTCAATGTCTGTCCCATTTATTCTCATATTTATCCATACACATATTTATGGCATGCCTGTTAAAGTGTCAAGCATGTGAAGCTGCAATGACAAAACAGCGGTGCACAAGACAAGAGGGAATAAAGTACATTCCCTATCCTGATGAGGTTTACATTATAGTGGAGAACAAAGACATTAACAGCCAATGACATGATTAATCACAACTAGAGTTGAATGTTTCCAAGGACAGGGTGCCCTGACTGGCCTAGCTGTCCTATGCTGGGTGTGGAGTTGGGGGTCAGGAAAGCTGTGATTTTTTCCCAGCCTGTATGTAGTCCCCTCACTTTGCGTATTTCATAGTATACAGTGCACAGTTCTAACACCTTAATGCGCAGCACTGTAATTCTTCAAGATGGCCCTCTCTCCTTGTGGAGTGTCCTTGTGGATACTGATGAATTAATTTTCCTATGAACAGTGCTTGGCACATGGTAGGGACTCAGAAAATGCTAACCAAATCTTTGAGTCTAGCTTTATTACCCAGTTTGTGCTCAATGGCTTTGTTGAGAGGGACTGACAAGTTGCACTTTAATTCCACAGAGTAGCAGCAAGAATCCTGGCTCCTTGTCTCTAGGTCAACTTTGATCTCCAGGATATTCTAGAATTAACTGGGTGGCTAATGTATGTGAGGTAGGGGAGTGTTTGCCCAGTAACCCTTCTCCCTCTGAGTTACCCGTATACAAAACCCCTATTATTCATGGCTTTATCGCACTCTTTTTCCTGAAATACAAGGATTTGGGGTCCAGACTAACCAAAGTGTGTCACCTGCATCTAGGAAAAGGGAATTAAAGTAGGATACAGAAAAGAGAAGGACGTTAAGGAATGTAAACTAGGGCCTTAGAACTGCATGCGGCAGTCACTGGTCAGGAGGGAGGGAGCAGAGATGTGCATTAAGGTGCTAGCAGCTTATATCAGGGCTCCACATAATTGTATGAGGAATGACAATACATATAACCCTGTGCATTGTAATCACACTTGAAATTGACCAACTTAGCTATGCCAGTTGTCTTAAATAAATGCTACCCAAAGTTTTTTCCATCCTAGTTTAAAAAGTTCATTTCTAGAACCATACAATCAGAAAAACACTTGGATGGAGAAACGGGGGTTCAAAGAACCTAGAACCTAGTATTAGGCATATTACCTACAAGAAAATTACAAACATATGTTTGAAATTGTGGGAAGATCCTGCAGTTTCTAGTACACAAGAGATGGTTAAAAGTAATATTGCTATCAGTCTTTTATACCCCAAATTAGTAACTTTTAAGTGAATGTGAAAAACTTAAAAACGTAGTTCCCTCAATTCAGTTTTTCCAAGTTGCTAAGCACAGTTTTTGGTAATAAGAGTTCAAGAAGTATCTGCTGAATGAACAAAATGTCTTAAAATCCCTCAACCACCTATAGGGTTTTTAGAACACTAACTCTTCCAGTTAGGGGGACAACACTGTATTCAAACATAGTGCATTTGCTCAGTTGGAGCACATTGATTGATACCTCTCTTTCCCTTTTGGTGATTTTTTTGTTTTAGTCACAATTTAGACCAAACTGAAAAAAGCTTTCCCCATCCCACCCCCCAAACATACGAAAATCCTTCTACATTTAAAAGTAAAATATCAGTGCCTATGTTGAAATAGTGTTCTTTTACTAAAATACTGATTTATTCATATGAAAACTGCATCTTTTATTCCCCAAATGGTGATGGTAAATTCCAAGTCAATGAATTTCTCAATTCTGTATAGTACAATCAGGTCCAAAGAGCAGGATGTAAAGTACAGGTGTGAAAAACAAAATATTACTCCTTATTAACAGTGATAAAAGAAGATAAGGCAGTTTTTTCTTTCATTTTCTTTCATCTCATTTCTTTCTCAGTAATGAATTTATTGATCAGTATTAATTCATTATCCAGGATACTTTTTAAAATGTGTATCATCTAAAAATAAAAATGATTGTTTCTGGATTTCTGGCTCAAATTTATTTTGAGTTACCTTTAAATACAATTACCACACTGAACATCACTAATAAAGATGGGAAAACAAAAGCCAATGTTTATAATTCCAAATGGTAAGAACTGGCCTACTAGAGAACAGTAAAGGGATAATAATAATGATAACAATAATGGCAGCTAGCCAGAGCTGCAGCAGGCAGTTATGCAGACTATGCACTGCACATTCCAGGGAGCTAGCTACACAGAACAGCAATCCTGTAGCTAATATTTACTGAGCATCCTACCACATGCCAGGCACTGTTATGACCATTTCATATGTAGTATGAAGCAGATACTACTCTCATCCTCACTTTTTATAGAAGAGAAAAAAGAAGGCACAAAAGGTTAATAATTGCCCAAGATCTCAAAGCTAATGAGTGACAGAGCCAGGCATTTGACTCCAGGGCCCACACTCTTAACTGCTACCCCATACTGACTAACTCAGAGTTATAAGCCCAATTACTTGAAAAAAATCTCTTTGATTTTAAATCTTTCTTATAGATAACTTTATTTTTAAAAGTACGAAGTATTTGGAAGATAGTATTCTTACTTGGAATAATTTTGAAAAGTATTTTACTAAATATATATTAGCTGTTTCTTCATTCAGAATGGTGACATGTAGTTTACAGAATCTGTCTCTAATTTGTGATCACATCTCACATACCAATGCTCTCCCCCTTACCTAAAAGAAACAAAAAATTTTTAAAAAAGGAAAGGAAAAAAAAAAAAAGCAACCACTAAGTACACAGGATTCCATATACGCATATACTTTAATAACAAAGTCACTTTAGCTGTAACTGAACAAAGAAAGGGAGACAAGAAGAACTTAACACATGATACTATGATATCCACAACTTTGGGTCAAAACAGGCATACATAAAGCTTTAAAATATATATTGTCTACGTTAATGGAGGCTACAACTACCAATTTTGATTACACATGTTTTCTGAAACATTATTGTCAAAGAGTTCAAAGTTAGACCAAATAATGATGTCAAGAAAAATTCTGTCTTAAAATTTTAACAAAGTCTTTTAAGAAAGTCTAAAATCCTATATTCTCACATTGACTCTCAAAACTTTGATTTTTATATCAGAATATCAGTTTGCCACTTTAATTTTTACCATACATGAAAGATTATCAAAAATATATTGATGGGTCTATACTAATTGTGACTATTCATATTTACATTAAGCAAATTCTTTTACCAAGTTCTTTATATACAAATTACCATTTGTCCTATGTCAAATTCATTAAAAAGTTAAAAACTACAGAAATGTTATTAGAAATAATGCATTTCAATATGTAACTGTTTTCCATTAATGAAGAATATTTTAAAATAATTTAACTGAAAAAGTACTGAACTGCCCACCAATTTCTGCTGCAACGGTATTCCTTCTGAATGTTTTCTGTGATTTAAGGAAAAAAAAAAAACTGGGTAAAGCTTGATTGCAAGGAATGACAAAAATCTGATGACTGTTTATTGATCTTCAAGAAATTTACAGATTAATTATATTGGTATTAAAAAATAGCAATGATTAAAAAACGTAAACAGTTCAAGATAACTGAAGAAACAGCAGTCTTTAAAAACTGGCAAATGCACTATATGAATACTTTTCATATAAATTTAAATCACAAAATAGTATCCCATAACCAGTTGAACTGAATACAGGCATGGCTTTCTGACACTTCCAAAAAGGGCCAACATTTTAAAAAAACTTAAACTATTCCCAAACTGGAAATAATTTAGATTTTAGAAGTATCACAATAAATAAAAGAAATTTATAAAATCAAGAGAAGATTTGGGGAAATTTTCATAAGGGGATTATATTAATACCACTAAAATAAAAAAGTCACTTTAATTGTTTTAGACTCCTGGTCACACAGGAAGGAAATGAAAAGGATGGCTTTTTCCGAGGAAAAACCTGAGCATGACATCATAAGCTTTTCAAATTTGAAGATCATCAGTTCAGACGACCATAAAACTGAGTACAGCACTTTGTCCAGTACAGATACATTTCTCTTGTCTAAGAATTAACTGATTTTGTAACAATCACTGAAAAATTTATGCCTCAGATTCTCTGGTTTGAAAATAGAGATTAGCTCCATTTTGGAAATTATATTAATTTATGTTGATTATATACTCCGCTAAAGCAAGAAATAAAGCTCTAAAATATTTACCTAGTTAGTGCTCTGTCTCTGGACTTTAGGACCAATACTCTGTGTGTCCTCTTCCTGACTAGGACGTTTCCCACTGCTGAGACCAGTGCACGTGGAGCTTCTTCCTACACATTTAAAAAAAATGTATGTTTAAGATAAGAAAGGTGAGAAGAAGAGTATGCTCAAATGCTACATTCTTACCTTGCTTTAATAGGTGAGTTTGCTGACTATCTCCATAAGCATAATGTAAAATACCACTCCCTGGAGTGCAACCTGTTAGTATGTTAAACATAGTAAAATTACTTAAACTAATTTCAAGTTGTATGTATTACGATTACAAATCTAATTTTTAGTATTTGTATTGTGCGTTTTAGGATTAATCCACAACCCTTCATATGAACCAAAACTCATACCCAAATCAGGAAAACTTAACTTGTCCTTAAATTTAGGGTCATAGGAATGTTGACTGTTCAAGGGCAAAATCACTAATAATCATTTTCTAAAAAACACTTCTTTACTGGATGACAATTAGACACTTGATCATGAAGTCAAAACATAGGGCATCAGTGAGATATACATCCTTCCTTCACCTCCTCCTCCCTCAGCACCTATCTAAAACATATGTCCTTGGAGATACAGTAAGGGAATAAGGTCCTGCCAGATGAGAGTTAAACAATGGAGCAGTTACCTAGCCTGTAAAATTGTATCAACTCTCCTAAAAAGAAAAAATGTTATAGGAGAATGGGTTAGCACAGAAAAGTAGATTCTAGAGAAAACATTATGGAAAAATATGAGGATCCTACCCCTAGGAGTGGTTGCATGATGGCCCGAACAAGACAATCTACTTATTTTTAGTGTAACTTCATACTTATCACATTTCTCTGGATAAAGAATTCAGCTTTTCGGGTACTCAAAATTGGGAAAGTGAATGCCCTGATCAAGGATGAGGACTTCTGGAAAGGAATATTTCCACCATAAGCTAATAAACTAATGTTCCCTGTTGATATTTTAATTCATATGATTTTAAAATTTCTAGTCTGTCATTCACAGAATGGTCACCACTAATTATAGCAAACGTTCAGGCTTTAGACTTGTAAGGCTGAAGGCCAGACTCAGGACTGTGGCAAATTCACCGCTGAATGGTGCTGCTACTGGTCTTACCATCATCAGGGCTTCCCCTAGTAGCGATACTTGTCATCATGCATCTTTGCACGACTCTACTGAAATCTTCACAAAATAATGTGAAGGTACTTAATTCCACTGAATTGTACATTTAAAATGGTTAAAATGCTAAATTTTATGTTGTGCATATTTTACAATTAAAAAAACTTCAACAAATACATTTTTCAATTATCGTATTTATTTGATTTTTATTGTTATTTTCTATTTTTCTGAATTTTCTAAACTGTCTATAGTGAATAGTTTTTTAAAGCAGTTTTGAGGAGTAATTTATATACCATAAAATTCAACTGTTTTAAGGGTACAGTTCAATAATTTTTAGTTAATTTACAGAGTTGTGTAATCACCAACATAATCCAGCTTTAGAACATTTTCATCACATCCAAAAGATCCCTCATGTCCATTTGCTTTCATTCTCCATTCCTACCTATAAGCCTAAGGTAGGCACTAATCTAATTTCTCTTTTAAAAACATGACTTTTCTCACTAGTTCATATAAGTGGAATCATGCAGCATGTGGTCTTTTGTGTCTGGCTTCTTTAACTTAACATAATATTTTTGAGATTTATCCATGTTGTAGCATATATCAGCATTTTGTTCCTTTTTATGAATTAATATTCCATTATATGGATATACTCCATTTTGACTATCATGAATAAAGCTATTATAAACATTCACATATAAGTCTCTGTGTAGACATATATTTTCACTTCTTTTGGATAGATACTTAGGAATGGAATTTCTGGGTTGTATGTTAAATTTATGTTTAGCTTTTAAGAAACTGCCAAACTGCTTCCCAAAATGGCTTCACTGTTTTACACCCTACCTCTCAGCAATGTATGAGCGTTCCAGTTTCTTCACATCCCACACACTTGTTACTGTCTGTCTTTTTTATTTCAACCACTCTAGTGGTTATAGGGTGACCAACTCATCCCAGTTTGGGACTCTTCAAGTGTTAGCATGGAAAGTCCTGTGTCCCAAGAAACTCCTCAATGCCAGGCAATCAGTGATAACTGGTCACCCTAAGTGGGTGTGAAGTCCTATCTCTTAGTAGTTTTAATTTGCATTTCCCCAATAACTAATAATGCTGAACAGGTATTTTATAATAGAAAAAATTTTAGTAGTCTGCTTTATTATAAGAACAAAAATACCTCAAGACATCTTTGTATGTTAGTTTATTCCTTTCCTGAGCACAAAAAGTCTACAAAAATGAGAGGACAAAAATGCAGTTTCTGTTGCAGAGATTAAGAATTTTTGCACAGTCATTAAAAAACTTAAATCATAAAGAATCTTGCCCTTTGAAATGCCTTTAAGACACTGTAAATAAAAGCCTACGAATAGGGTAAGTATGGGGCATTAAGGGATACGCTTCTGAAGTATAAGTCCTTTCTAGAATTTAAAAAAATTTTTTAATTTATATTTTGGCTGCATTGGGTCTTCATTGCTGCGCACAGGCTTTCTCTAGTTGCGGTGAGCGCGAGTTACTCTTTGTTGCAGTGCGTGGGCTTCTCGTTGCGGTGGCTTCTCTTGTTGTGAAGCGCTGGCTCTAGGTGTGCCGGTTTCTGTAGTTGCAGCACGCAGGCTCAGTAGTTGCAGCATGTGGGCTCTAGGGCATGCGGGCTTCAGTAGTTGTGGCGTGTGGGCTTGGCTGCTCTGTGGTATGTGGGATCTTCCTGGACCAAGGATCGAACCCATGTCCCCTGCATTGGCAGACAGATTCTTAATCACTGCGCCACCAGGGAAGTCCCCATGTAAGTCCTTTCAAATGGAACAGAAACCTGAGGGGAGAAATTCTTAACAGCATAGTAACCTAAGGATCTTGCCATAATCACTCCCATTTTCAGGTCTACAATGCTCTCTCCTTCATCTGCCTACTTAAATGCTACCCACCCCACCATCCTCTTTTTAAAAAAAATTTTTTTTATTTATTTATTTTTGGCTGCATTGGGTCTTTGTTGCTGTCTGCGGGCTTTCTCTAGCTGTGGTTGAGTCGGGGATACTCTTCATTCTCATTGCGGTGGCTTCTCTTGTTGCGGAGCACAGGCTCTAGGCACGTGGGCTTCTGTAGTTGTGGCACACGGGCTCAGAAGTTGTGGCTCGCGGGCTCCAGAGCACAGGCTCAGTAATTGTGGCACACCAGCTTAGTTGTTCCGCAGCGTGTGGGATCTTCCCTGACCAGGGCTTGAATCCATGTTCCCTGCATTGGCAGGCAAATTCTTAACCACTGCACCACCAAGGAAGTCCCCCACCATCTTCTAAGAAAAGTTTCCTAGTTCCTTCAACTCCCTTTTTTCCTATTGCATGAGGAGGCAGTGTCTTACAATTTATCACTTTTTTCATTTTCTTTTTACCCCTTCCACACCCCCATTTAGACTCTAAGCTCTATGTAGCTTTTATGTCTTCTATGTCTTTTGAAAGCCTCTAAGCACCTAGCTACAAAGTGTGTTATAGGCAAATATTTACATGATTAGACACTACTTTCAAGATTTATTAATCCTATCACAAAACATCATGTTTATAAATTTGTGAAGCAAAATTATTCCAGTTTAACTTGCTAACATGATTAGTTTTGCAGATAAATACAGATTTGGACTAAGAAACAGTATGTACCATCATTATCCATTAGCTAGGTAACTGGAGTCTGTTGCTTTCCACCCTCTGCCACCTGCTTGTTATCTCACTGCTTCACAGAACTTCTGTCCCTCAAACTCATGTGTGGGCAAAAGAGGCAGTCTGTGAACTGCATAATAAATCTGATAGAACTTTTGAAATGCTACCTTGTTAAAGTTTACTTCAAATTGTAGGAGACGCTGAGAAAGAACATTTTTGAAGTACACTGCCATCATTAGCAACAATTTGAATGCAGGTGAAACACGTTCCAGTAATAAAATATTTTGTCTTATGAACACTACATTTGGCATTACATTTGCAGGGGAGACCCAGTGATACAGGAAAGAGTATGAACTTTAGGACTAGTTAGACTTGGATCTGAATCTTAGCTCAACTACTTACTAACTGTGGGATCTTGGTTAAGTTACCTAACTCTTCTAGGCTAATTTTCCCAATCATAAAATGAGAAGCCTACCACCACCCCTCAAGGTTATTGTGAGTATGTGGCCAAAATCCCCTCATACTTAGGCACAAAGTAGGCAGTCAAGATATGAGTGCTTTCGTTTCTTTCTCCTTAAGCTAATTGTTGATGCTCTCAAAAGTATGCAAAATATTTCTGAATTCAGAAAGGTTCAATTTGTTAAAGGTGTTATTCTTAATATCAAATTTTGAATAGCTGACTTCTTTTTTTTAAAAAAAATAAGCTTTCCTCTAATGCAGCCTTGGTGTTTTTTTTTTGCCTTTTAGTAACCATGCAGAATTATTTATTTTACTACCTATAACTGAAATACCAAAAAAACCTTATTTCCAAACCACAAAATGACGTTTTAGAATTTAGAATATGGATGTTTTTATCCCCTTACACGACCAAACAGAAAGTAATAAGTCCAGCCATTCAGCCTTGTTTTTAATCAAATTAATTAGCTTCATGCTATTTTTGGTTAGAAACTTTGAAAATTGATATGATTCAAATTTCCAATACATACTGACTTCTTGACACATATTAAGAACATATGTGGCAACTAACTATATATATCACAAAGAAAACCATTATAGACCAGGCTTTGTAAGAAAAAACTCACGTGCAAAAGGACTAGAGGCACTATGCATGTGCGTGATAAATCTTTTGGCCACGTTCACAGGGCCTCTGACCTTCTTAACTAATTACCTTATAGCTGATATATACTTAAAGGGAGTAAAAAATAATGACCATTCTGAATATATAACATTTCAGTTTCATTTTATCCTTAAAAATTGCTAACCTCATTCAGTTTGCAAGATCTTTACCTTGACCCAATTCCACTATATATAATGATGTTTCTATCTCTAAAATGTCACTAATGGAGTGAGGGTATGTGTGTATGTATATGTACATGTATGCATGTGTACAAGGAACCTATTACACAATTTAAAGATAGATTTTAAAAAACATATTATAGTGAGGTATGATAAACAATATATTTATAATTAATCTCTTTATGTTACTAAGTGCAGAAATTTCCTTTTCACTTACTTCCACTGCTGCTATAACCTGGGATATTTTCTCCAGGAGAATACCCCATGAGGCCTCCATTCCCATTAGGATTAGATGGCACTGATGCAAGAAGACCTAAAGGGAAAAAATTTCCTATTAAGTTATGATCAAGATCAAGTTCAAGGATGGGTACATAAACAGCTGCCAAAGAAACAAATCAAAGGCATTTACTGACATACCTAGTCCTCTATATCGTGAAAGCTGCTGATAGATCTGTTTCATCCTCTCAATATTCAAACGGCTTGCCTCAGCATGGTTCACCATTGGTTTGGGGTAATTAACTCCTATCAAACATTTGGCTACCTTTTGAATACTTTCTGGCGCATTCCAGGGATCATAGATATATTTTGCAGGGAAGCCTCGTAGGACAGGCAAATAACGTCTTTTGGGAGAAGGAAGAAAAATTATTAATAAAATGAACTATAAGCAAATTATAACAAACTATTTATTAGCTATGAATGACCAAAATCAAATCAATACCATTTAAATGATTTGTTACCCTTCTGCTCATCTCTGCTGCCCATGATGAGTGGGGAATACCCACTTTTCATGTTGCTTAAACATGAAAAGTTCTTCCTAGATTAGCTATTCCAGACTGAATAATAATCATTCTTGATTTACCTGATATAGTCTCCATTGGGATCTGTTCTCCTACCAAAACCAACAGGGCAATAGCAGTGAAAAAATTGTTGGAAAAAGGAACTACAAGACAGCCACATCCAACTTCCAGCATTTATGCTCCAATCTGCATCAAGTAATAATTCTTCAAATACCTTCGGAAGTAACAGTAATCACAATTAGTCTGCACACACGTAATTCTCAAAGTAAGCATTTTTCCAGGTCTCTGTAGATCAAAAGTCAAGGCAAGAAAATCTAGCACAGAGCTGTAAACTTAAACATTCCAAAGTTAGCTTCCTTGTCTGTGTTCTATTCTATAATGAGTTATTTCAGGGAAAGAAACATATTAGTAATATATAGATTTCTGAATAGAATTTACTATTCTAATCTTTGCAGTGTTACTGGAAGAGGGGAGAGTAAAAGTTATTAAAGTCACCAATTTAAAAGGATAAGATGGGATATGAGAAGATTAAAAAACTGGAAGAAAAAGCAGTAAACACTTTCAAGAATGCAAAAATGCTACCAAATAAACCACCAACAAAAACTTGGAAGCTTAGTACAATGGCCTACATAATGGGAACAATCAAATACAAATGACCTTTAAAAATTCATTAGTATTATACAGTTTAAATTTGGGATTCCTTGATCCAAAAGAGAAATAGAATTAAAATAAATTATTTTTTATAAATTCATTGTGTGCTGTACGTCTACCTCATGCACAACTTTGTACTAGGAAATACAGGAGATGTAAAAAAACACAGGATCAGAAATGGTCTTTGGATAGGGGAAATTTATGATATAGGCAGGAAGGTAAAACATATATTTAAGTCCCATTATATATAACCAAAAGATGTCACAAAATGTTGTATGCTTCACATTACATAATATAATTATGACTAAAAAGCTATGGTATTGAAGTGAGATGAAATGATTTATAGCTTAAAATTTATAAAACAAATTTGCTATTTCTAAGAACTCAGATGAATCCTTTATGTGACAGAAATGATCACCTATAAATATATATCGACCCAATAAGTCCAGAGTATTAAATCTTATAGCTCCCTTGATGGCTAGGCTGATTTAGCCATTGAAATGACTTCAGGTTAACTGAACCACTTTTCACCAGTTCTCCTATCTGATTATGCCATTCTGCTCCCCAAAAGTGTGTCTGTATGGTGAGAATTAAATGCTTTTCTATTGAAAAAATTAGACTATAAATGAATCTACATAGCAGACAATTTTTAGGAATTGTTTTATAAAGGTACAGAGTTCTTCAGAATAAGGCCATACTACATTAGTTGGAAGAACACTTACCTTCATTCCTTCTTCCCAACTAATCCACAGGTCACCTCGTGTCAGGAAGCAAGCAACTGCATGTCTGGCTAAATGATGGATCCAACCCTCCTGACGAAGCTGTGTCATGATGGCATCAATCCATGGAAAGCCTGTCCGTCCTTCTGCCCATTTCGCTAAAGCCTCAGGATTCTTATCCCAAGGAATCTGAACACAGATGGGATTTCCTTCCATTTTGTCAAAGCGTGGATTATTTGTTGCTGCTGTATAGAAAAATTCACGCCATAACAGTTGCCCATAAAGGGAAAGGGGAGGGGAACTGTTCTTTTTTACCTAAGATTAAAAAGCAAAGAAGTATTATCAGCAATTTAAGAAAAAAGTATTTTGAAAAATAAGCTCCAGTTCCGGATAATACCTTTTTGTAGAGATCTGTCAGTTTGAAGTAAAACAGTCGACATGACAAACAACCAAATCGGAGATAAGGACTGAGTCCAGTAGGGCTAGCGAGCAGGGAATTCGCATTCATTCGAGGTCTTTCAAAGTTTGCCACCCAAGCCTGAAAACACACAGAGAAAATTATGCTAACTAATTGCCTTTTCCATTTTAAAAGATTGTTTAAAGTTGAGATTTTTTTAAAAGTTACATAGGGCTTGGAAAATAAAATATCATTTTTCTAGCCACAAATGACAGATTTTAATAAAAAACAAGCAAGATAAAAGTGATCATTCTTTTGTTTTAGCCATCCTCATGCAGTAAATTCCTAACACAAGGCTGAGAGCACCTTCAATCTGTCTCTCTGACACTGAGAAAAATATGAAATAGAAGAACTCTATCCTAGCTTCAAAGTTATAGTCATCAGATACCAGCTTACAAAGTAAGAATAGAAGGGGTAGTATTGATAGTAGCTAAAGAGGAAATAATCAGAAGAGGAGGAAGAAGGGTATTTAAATGAAGAGATAGTTGTTAATTTTCAAACAATTAGGATTGCTCTATTTTAACTATTTCTCTCAATCCTTCTTTTTCAACAGTTTTTCTGTTTTTAAAAAAGAGTGAAATTATTTTTAAAATGCCAGTTTGACAATATAAATATCATCTGTATTATCATACTTTTCTTTCCAAATGCCTTTCCAAACGTGTAAGTGCTTCAGTTTCTCCGCCTGGCCACACTGCAGAAGATAAACCATCTGTATCAAAACCTAAAAAAAAAAAGAAAAGAAAAGAAAAAAAATTGACAGTCGCATAAAAATGAAATGACAGCCCTGGATAGGTCCTCAAAAATAGATGATATATAACATGGTCTCTGTTCTTTAAGATGTGCATTTTAAGGTGATAACAGATAGACCACATATTTATAGAACACATAAATAACGCACAGATTTATCACTTCTTAGTTTCAGAGTTTCTTTTCTTTTTTCCCCTTTCTTTTCCGTTTAGTGCAAAATACTTTACATGACAAATTAGAAGTGGGATTTTTCTGAATGGTTTATTAACCCTTAAGCTCCACATGTATTACCGTTTACACCTACCTAGTTCTTCCAGTGAAGGGACTCCATATTTCTCATCATGGTCATCAGACAGAGGAGTTGTGCACTTTTCTATCACTTCTGAAGTAATTGTCTCTACTGGTATCTCTAGTGGTTCCATTTTGCTGATGAGAGTCTGGAATCTTTTATAAGTAAGAGGTGGTTGTCCACCATTTAGTTCTATGATCCTATTACAAAAGTTAGTAAAATGCTGTTAGTATTAAAAAAAGGACAATACATTTTGATTGATAAATTCTGAAAAGGCTTAAGGACCAAGAAACTTGTTAAAATAATTAACAAATCTAAAAATCATTCTCTTCATTTTATAGACATCTGCTAGGTATCAAAAATATAGTGTATGCAAATATCAAAACTTTTAAGACAAAGGGAATTAAGCACCTATGAGTGGAAAAACAAGTGGCTAAATAAGCCTAAAGGCAAAAACAAAAAATAATATATATGGAAATATAAAAACATACCACAACACAGCTCAAAGAATCTCTTAATCATCAATAAAAACTAAACCAGGCCAATATTATACCAAGGAGCAATCAGCAAGTCTCATTAATTAGGATTCTATATTACTGTCATGATAATCACTTGCTATTTTCTATTGTGCTCATGTTTTTGTTAAATGTCAGCATATGTATCTCATGTATATATTTTATATTTAATTCTGATCACTAATTTCTCAATTAAGTAATACTAAAAGGAAAGATAAGTCTTACCAATGGTAGTCTGAATTAGACACAATTTGGAAATACCAATTATTCTTTTTCACTATGGCCATTTGCTTACTAGCATTTAGCCTTAGTAAAAAATTATTGGTAAAATCCAACTCCATCGTTTTATGCATCAGCAACTGAAGCCTCAAGAGAATTTAATAGTCAAGGTCACATAACTAATAAATAGCAAATCAAGGTTTTCTTAATCCAAATACAGTACAGTTTTCATTATACCACATATACTTATGTATCAGTTGTACATACAGAAAGTAACCACCATAAAAACTATGCTCTCTGCTTTTAGTAATTTTGCTTTGGTGTAATACTTTGAGTTTATATATAGGGTCATAATGAAATCTGTCCACTATAATGATACTACAATGGCACTACTGAGGACACTGCTAATTACATAACAGAAGCAGAATAAAAATCTTAGAAAAAATGTTTTCTATATGTTACATTTTTATATGATGGATTATATGTGGTAAATACTCACACTCAATCTAACAAACATTCCAATTTTATGCACAACACTGAGTTTCCCACTTAAAGCAATTGCTCTTATCTTGTTTTGCCTCCTTGCTATCAGCTCTCTAAAGTTAAGAAATCTGGTAAACTAGAAGGCAACTTTATTATCGAAGGATATATGACTTCTGGCTTAATATCAAGTAAGACCCTTGACTGAATCGAACCACAATATTTTGATACACTTGGAATAAAATTAACTAGCTTGTCGTGTTACTTACAGAATTAGTTTTATTAACTTGACAAAATGTGAAAATAAAAAAGTAAAATAATTTAAAAGGTACGTAAATTGTGAGATTTCAGCACTTGTAAGGATGATAGTATGCTAAAGGTTAATGTTAACAAATCTTATGAACCTTCAAATCTTACAGCATATAAAGCTTTCTAAATTTAAACTTGACCACGGAATCTTTGTTGGACAAAGCATCACCAAAAACTGATAGTCCAGGAAATACGCTTTGAGAAATAAGATATTATACCATTGTTCAGAAGACTATGTAATATTACATAAAATGTGCATATGGACTTAAAATCCAGAGACTAGATATATACACATAAAATAAAATAACTTATGACAATCATGTAAAATATATCAAGGCAGTTTGTGGCTATGTATGTCATATAAACTATAAAATTAACATTGCTAAGAGCCCAGAAAGGCAAGTTAGTAGGCTGAGTTAGAACAGTCAAAGATAACTGTGTGATGCTTTTAATAGTTTTGAAATTGAAATTCTGAGTATGTTTATCTTATGTACTTATACCTGTAATTTTGGTATCTGTCACTGGGTAAACAAAAATCACAGATGTTAAATAAAATGCTAAAGGTTTGACATATATTCACTTAATTCTACCACAAGTCTATTGTGTATGTTTTTATTTCCACTTTATAAACTAGTCCCACAGTACATTCCCACAGTACATTTTCTATGTACTTAAAACCACTGAAATGTACACTTAAAAGTGGTTAAGATGAAAAATATTATAGTATTTTACCATTAAAAAAAACTTACTTGTCTAGGTCATATAATGTATGTGAAATTCGTACAATTACTTCTACCCCAGCTTCAGTAGCCAATTTCTTAATAGCTGCATCTCGTTCCTTTCCAAAGGGCTCAGAATCATATTCAATTGAAAGTTTAGTAATGTTCCATTCCTAAAATAAAAGAAAGGGGCAAAAACATACATAAATTTTAACAATTAGTTTTTCTATTATAATGACATAGGCTGGAAAAAAGTGAAAAGCTCCAATGCTACCTAGTGTATAACAAACACTATATATAAGTGTTTGTCATGGTAAAATGGAAAAAAGTAACATGTTACCAAGTTGCTGAAAGATTAAATGAGTCAATGCATATAAATTGTTTAGGACATAGTACATAGTAAGTCCTCAGTGAATGATAGCTGTCATTATTACTAGCCATTTGTATATTTCTTACTTTGTGGGTTGCAGCTTATGTTTTCTTGGGTTTCTATCGCAGTTAATTTTTCTCTTAAGGATTTGTAAGAGCTCCTTATATTTTAATGATAGCAAACCTTCTCTATCACCTGTGTCACTTTTTTTCCTAAATAGTTTGTAATTTAATTCTATGATTTTTTTGACAAATAAATATTTAGTTTTTAGTTAGTAAATGTTGGAATTTAGAACAAGTCAATAACACTCCCTCCCCTTTTCCCTTTTTGAAAAGGAAGGGAATATAAGTCAGAAAACTAAAGGTAAAAATATAGATCACACAGTCTCCCAAGGCAACTGAAATAAAAACAAAAATAAACAAATGGGACCTAATGAAACTTACAAGCTTTTGCACAGCAAAGGAAACCATAAACAGAATGAAAAGATAACCTACAGAGTGGGAGAAAATATTTGCAAATAATGCAACTAACAAGGGCTTAATACAAACAGCTCATACAACTCAACAGAAAAAAAACCAAATAACCCAATTAAAAAATGGGCAGCAGACCTAAATAGACATTCCTCCAAAGAAGAAATACAAATGGCCAACAGGCACATGAAAAGGTGCTCAACATCGCTAATAATTAGAGAAATATAAATCTAAACTACAATGAGGTATCACTTTGCACTGATTCTGATGGTCAGATGGCCATCACTAAAAAGTCTACAAATGCTGGAGAGGATATGGAGGAAAGGGAATCCTCCTATACTGCTGGTAGGAATGTAAGTTGGTACAGCCACTATGGAAAACAGCATGAAGGTTTCCTCAGAAAACTAAAAATAGAATTATCATATGATCCAGCAGTGGCACTCCTGGGCATACATCCAGACAAAACTCTAATTAAAAAAGATACATGTACCCCATGTTCATAGCAGCACTATGCACAAAAGCCAAGACATGGAAACAACCTAATGTCCACTGACAAATGAATGGATAAAGAAGATGTGGTACATATATACAACAGAATACTACTCAGCCATAAAAAAGAATGAAATAATGCCATTTGCAGCAACATGGATGCAACTAGAGATTATCATACTAAGTGAAGTAAGTCAGAAAGAGAAAGACAAATACCACATGATATCTCTTTTACATGGAATCTAAAATATGACACAAATGAACCTATGAAACAGAAACAGACTCATGGACATAGAGAACAACCTTGTGGTTGCCAAGGGGGAGGAGGTTGGGGGGAAGGATGGAGTAGGAGGTTAGGGTTAGCAGAAGTAGGCTATTATACATAGAATGGATAAACAACAAGGTCCTACTGTATAGCACAGAGAACTATATTCAATATCCTATGATAAGCCATAATGGAAAATAATATATAAAAAGAATGTATATATGTATAACTGAATCTCTTTGCTGTAAAGCAGAAATTAACACAATACTGTAAATCAACTATACTTCAATTTAAATATATATATATATATAGACCACATTACTAGTAAAGTTGAATTGGAGTAAACATGTTATGTTTAAGGACAGATAAGCTTGCTAATTTTTTACCCCTGAATTAAACAGATTTAGCTACCCAATGATAAGCAGCACCTTCCTTGCAGTGTGGGCTGCCCCTACAAAATTTATTACATGGAAGAAGGGACTAGGATAAGTGCTCTCTGCAACTGAATAGGCAAAAAGGTATGATATGAGTGATACTCACCTAACTCCTTCTGTTAACTCACCAGTGAGATCATTCACTTCTTCCCTGGGGATAAATTAGTGAACATCTCTCCAGAAAAAAAATGAAAAGCTAGGGAAGAGAAGGTTCCCCAAACATTAAAAGTATTCAGGGCAGAGTCAAGATGGCAGTGTGGAAAGACGAGGAGTTAGCATCTCCCCACAACTAGGGTGCCTGACGGCCGCTGGTGATGGACTCTGATGCCAAAGGAGACAGGAGGAACCTGAAAGTGAACCAGTAGGACATAGGGGGACTGAGGAGGGAGGAGAAGTGGAGGTCAGACAGGATCAGGGCCCCTGAGGCCAGGGAGATCAGGAGAGGCAGGAAGGAGGAGTGGGGGAGGAGCAGAGGGCGATAGCCCTGCCCCTCGGGCCAGGGAACCTGCTGAGCTCCCAGGTCAATCCTCTGCCTTCCAAAGCCCCCTCCAGACAGCATGGGTCCTTGGAGTAGTAGGAGGGAGGCCAGAGAGATCAGGAGAGGCAGGCGGGAGGGGCCATCTGGGAGGAGCGGGAGAGAAGCGGAGGGTGATTGCTCCGCCCACTCAGGCCCCGGGAGCCTGCTGTGCTCCCAGGCCAGTCCCCTGCCCTCCAAAGCCCCCTCCAGGCTTCACAGGTCCTTGGGGGCATAGGAGGGAGGCCGGGGAGATCAGGAGAGGCAGGCGGCAGGGGCCCTCCCAGACAAGAGGAGCAGGACAGGAGAGGAGGGCATTTGCCCCACCCACTCGAGCCCAGGAAGCCTGCTGGGCTCCCAGGTGAGGTCCCCTGACCTCTGAGACCAGGGGTTGGGGGCATGCCTGGGCCCCTTCTGTTCCTTGAGCCTAAGCTCCACCCCCCACGGCCTTTTCCAGCCCTGTGGGTCCTGTGCATTGGCCTGGCCCACCATCCAAACCTCACCCTTGCTTAGGCCCCACCCTCCAGAGCCAAGGCCTCTCCTGGCACCCCCACTATTTTTGTTCTTTTCCCTCCTCCTCTTTTTTACTACTGTGGTACTGATGTACCTTCTCGTTGTTGATTCATCTATATTTTTACTTTTATATTCTTCCTAAAATATCTCTTAGTTTCCTAGTCTAATTTTATTTTTTACTTTGTTATTTTTTATCTTTTTATTTTTTTTGCTGCCCCAGGAGGTTTGCAGGATCTTGGTTCATGAGCCTGGGGACAGGCTGAAGCTCCTGTGGTGGGAACTCCGAGTCCGAACCACTGGACTAACAGAGAATCTCAGACCCCAGGGAATATTCATCCGAGTGAGGAGGTCTCATGGAGTTCCTCATCTCAGCACCAAGACCCAGCTCTACCCAATAGCCTACAAACTCCAGTGTTGGAAGCCTCAGGCCAAACAACCAGTAAGAAAGGAACACAATCCCACTCATAAAAAAAAAAAAAAAAAAAAAAAAAAATGAGATGGCAAAAAAAAATGTCACAGATTAAGGAGCAAGGTAAAAACCTACAAGATCAAATAAATGAAGAGGAAATAGGCAATCTACCTGAAAAAGAATTCAGAGTAATGATAGTAAAGATGATCGAGAATCTCGGAAATAGAAAGGAGGTACAGATTGAGAAAATACAAGAAATGTTTAACAAAGATCTAAAAGACCAAACAAACAGATGAACAACACAATAACTGAAATGAAAAATACACTAGAAGGAATCAATAGCAGAATAACTGAGGCAGAAGAACGAATAAGTATGCTGGAAGACAAAAGGGTGGAAATAACTGCTGAGGAGCAGAATAAAGAAAAAAGAATGAAAAGAATTGAAGACAATCTCAGAGGCCTCTTGGACAACACTAAATGAACCAATATTTGGATCATAGGGGTCCCAGAAGTAGAAGAGAAAAAGAAAGGCTCTGAGAAAATATCTGAAGAGATTATAGTTGAAAACTTCCCTAACATGGGAAAGGCAATAGTCACCCAAGCCCAGGAAGCACAGAGAGTCCCATACAGGATAAACTGTAGGAAAAACACACCGAGACACATATTAATCAAACTAACAAAAATTAAATTCAAAGAAAAAATATTAAAAGCAGCAAGGGAAAAACAAAAACTAACATACAAAGGAATCCCCATAAGGTTATCAGCTGATTTTCCAGCAGAAACTCTACAGGCCAGAAAGGAGTGGCAGGATATACTTAAAGTGATGAAAGAGAAAAACCTACAACCAAGATTACTCTACCCGGCAAGGCTCTCATTCAGATTCGATGGAGAAGTCACAAGCTTTTCAGACAAGCAAAAGCTAAGAGAATTCAGCACCACCAAACCAGCTTTACAACAAATGCTAAAGAAATTTCTCTAGGTGGGAAACACAAGAGAAGAAAAAGACCCACAAAAACAAACCCAAAACAATTAAGAAAGTGGTAATAGGAACATACATATCGATCATAACCTTGAACGTAAATGTACTAAATGCCCCAACCAAAAGACAGAGACTGGCTGAATAGATACAAAAACAAGACCCATATACGTGCTGTCTAAAAGAGGCCCACTTCAGACCTAGGGACACATACAGGCTGAAAGTGAAGGGATGGAGAAAGATATTCCATGCAAATGGAAATCAAGAAAGCTGGGTAGCAATACTCGTATCAGATAAAATAGAGACTGTTACAAGAGGAAAGGAGGAACACTACATAATGATCAAAGGATCAATCCAAGAAGAAGATATAACAATTATAAATGTTTATGCTCCAACACAGGAGCACCTCAATACATAAGGCAAATGCTAACAACCCTGAAAGGAGAATTCGACAGTAACACAATAATAGCAGGGGACTTTAACACCCCACTTACACCAATGGACAGATAATCCAAACAGAAAATAAATAAGGAAACACAAGCTTTAAATGATACAATAGACCAGATATATCTAACTGATATTTATAGAACACTCCACCCAAAAGTGGCAGAATATACTTTCTTCTCAAGTGCATATGGAACTTCTCCAGAATAGACCACATCTTGGGTCACAAATTAAGCCTTGGAAAATTTAGGAAGACTGAAATCATATCATACACCTTTTCTGACCACAA